CACTTCGAGCACGCGGCGACGGGAGATCCCGCGATGGACTTCGAGACCGCCCGGGCCTACGCGCGCGCGCTCGACTACACGGGCCAGCGCGCCGCGGCGCGCGCCGTCGCCGCGGGGGCGCCGGCGCTCCGCGCGAAGCCCAAGGTGTTGGCGACGCTGGAGCGCGTCCACGGCTACCTCGAGGAGGCGGACGCGCTCGTCGACCTGAAGGACGCCGAGTACGTGGACCGCGCCATCGACCTCTACTCCAAGGTCCTCAAGCTCGACGCGGAGCACGCCGTCGCCTACGAGCGGCGCGCGGCCTGCGAGCTCGAGCTCGCGAAGCTGGACCCGCCGCGGTACCCGGGCCGCTGGTCCGACGCGGACCCAGGCGAGGAGGGGCGGAAGGCGCGCTGCGAGCGCGTCGAGAACGACGCGGGCCTCGCACTCGCGCTCATGGAGCCCTTCCCCGCGGTCCTGCTCCTGCGGGGGGACGCGCTGCGCCTGCTGGGGCGGCACGACGCGGCCGTCGACGACTACGGCGACTACGTCGAGATAATGAGGCGGCGCGGCTTCGACGTCCGGCGCCACCCGCAGATGAGGGTCGCCAACGACATGTGGGGGAAGCTCCTGAGCGCGGGCCACAAGTCCATGCGGCGCCAGCACAACCCGCGGGCCCAGAAGTTCGACTGGACGGGCAACCGGTGGCGCCAGTGGTACGACGCCGAGCCCGACTTCCACGGCCCCAACGACGGCTACACCTACGACGCGCACCGCGAGCGCAGCGGCCACGCGGGCCACCGGGCCGAGTACGCCGACATGGCCGCCGACGAGGACCTCGACGCGCACTACTGGCCGACGAAGTCGCACTACGAGGTCCTGGGCGTGTCGCCGGACGCGGCGGACGCGGCGATCAAGAAGGCCTACTTCGCCAAGGCCCGCGAGTGCCACCCGGACAAGAACCGCGACGACCCGGACGCGACGGCCAAGTTCGAGCGCATCGCCCTGTCCTACTCGGTCCTCATCGACCCGCTCGAGCGGTGCTACTACGACGAGGCGCGGACCGCGCGGCGGCGCTAGGGGGGGCGCTTCTTCTTTCTTTCTTTACCGGCATAAAGTAGCGAAGGGCTTTTAGGAGGGCAGCGGCCGATAGACGGGCGCGCCCGGGCAGACGTGCTCGCGGCCGGGGACGTCCGTGAAGGCCATCTCCGGCTCCACGGGGGCGATGCCGTCGAAGCGCGCGGGGTCGAGCAGGTCGTCGAAGAAGGCCGGGAGCGCCGCCGCGCCGAGGAACGACGCGAGCTTCGCGAAGAGGCGGCAGCGGAGCGCGTGCCAGAGCGGCGGCACGCCGGGGTCGTCGACGGCCGCGAGCTCGCCCGCGCAGTGGCGGAGGAAGGCCGGCACGTCGGCGCCGCCGCCGGGGAGCCCGGCCGCGACGGCGAGCTCGACGTGGCGCGCGAGCTCGTAGGTCCAGCCCGGGCCCAACGGCTTCGGGAGCGACCGCCAGAGGGCACCGGCGCCGGCCTCGCCGCCCGTCGAGAGCCACAGGTTCGCGGACGTCGTCGCGTCCGAGAGGCACTCGATGTGGTGCCACCAGTGGTGCGGCAGGTAGAGCACGTCGCCGGGTTCGAGCACCGCGGAGCAGGCCGTCGCGCGCGCGTAGCGCGGGAAGCGCGCGTAATCCGGCGCGTCGACGTGGACGCGCGGCCGCAGCTCGAGGCCGTGGTGCTGCGGGAAGACGCAGAGGTGCCGCGCCTCGAGGGGGTCGAAGAGCACGACGCGCTTCCGGCCCTCGAGCTGCACGATCAAGCCGTCGTAGCCGTCGCAGTGGCACCGGCTACACGCGCCGCGCGGGCCCACGTAGAGCTTCGTCTTCATGTGGGGCCCGAAGCCCGCGGCGGCTCCTAAAGCCGCGAGGAGGCCGCCGTCGAGGCTCTCGAGGTCGCGGCGGAGCGCCGGCGGCACCTTGCCGTCGTGCGCGAACGCGCCGCTCGGGGTCGGCCGCGCACCGAGGCACTGCTGGAGGTAGCGCGCCTTGCCGTCGCCGTAGGTACCACCGTTCGCCTCCGCGGCGCGGTCCAGGAACCAGCGCAGCGTCCGGTACTCGTTGCCGTTCGTCGGCGGCGATTCGTAGGCCGCGTACTTGTCCGCGGTCCGGCTCCGGTCCGCGTAGGTGCCCCGGTTCCAGAAGACGGTGAAGCGCCGCGAGGGGGGCGCCCAGACGGTCTCGAGGGGCGCGTCGCCGAAGTCTCGCGCGAGCGTCTCGGCCGTCCAGCCGCGGAGCCCCGGGACCAGCGGGCAGTCCGCGAGCACGACGGGCAGCCCCGCCCGGAGCCGCGCGAGCGCGCCGGCGCGGTCCGTTGTCCAGGATGTCCGGGGGATGGCGACCTCCCGGGGCGCGGCCGCGGACCAGGGCGGCGGCGGCTCCGCCGGCGGGCCCTTCGCGTCGACGAGGGGCCGCGGGTCGTAGCGCGGCGCCGCGGGGCTGCCCCAGGCCTGGCTCAGGAAGCCCGGCCCGAAGTCCGGCGCGTAGGTCGACGCGACGGCGTCCGTCGCCCAGATCTCGGCCTCGAGCGCCGCGGCGGCCGGGTCCGCGCGTCCGCCGATCGCGACGCGCTGCAGGTCCCCGATCGCGCGGAAGGGCCGGTCCGCGCGCCAGAGGTCGCGCGCGCGCGCGACGAGGCGCGCGGCCTCCGCCGGCGACATCGGCGCGGGTGGCGGCGCCGCGGGCGGCGCGGCGGCGGGCGGCGGCGGCGCGGCGGCGGCCGGCGGCCTCGGCGGCGCCGGCGCCGCCGCGACGACGAAGACGGAGCCGCCGTCGCCGACGTCGTCGCGCACGTCCTCCGGCCCGGGCGCCCCGCCGCGGCCGTCGCAGCGGCGGTCGAGGCGGCAGGACGCCGGCAGGGCGCCCGCGCCGAACTTGCGAGCGTGGGCCGCCGCGAAGGCGCGGAGGATCTTCGGCGCGCTCAGCGGACCGGCCTTGCCATGCGTGAGCTTCACGGAGAAAGCCTCCGCGCCCAAGGTCGTCGTGATCGTGATGCCATACGGCGCCATCACGGAGGAGCCGCCTTACGCCTTGTCCACGGCCTCCATGCTTCCTCTCGGTTTAATTGAACTTTTTAGTGAACTTTGATCGAATTCATAATGGGGCTGCCGCGGATCGCCCTGTCGTGGGCGCTCTGCGCCATCATCGCCGTTGCCAATTACGCGCAACACAGCGTCCGACGGTGTTTCGAGAGCTGGAAAACCGACGAGTTCGGCAGGTGCAACACCACCTGCCTCCGCCCGTGCCCGAGGCCTGGTACGATGAGAACGGCCTGGACATGGGCGCGCACGAGGTGCAGCTGCGCCAGCACGTCGATTGCTGGGTCTATCTCACGGCCCAGATGCTGTGCATTTTGCTCGTCTACCACGCCGTCAGCGCGGCGGCGGAGACGTTCGGCCGCCTCCGGGGCGTCGCCTACGCGGCCGCGCCGGCGTGCCTGGGCCTGGGCCTCGTGGTCTACGGGCTCTTCTTCTTCTTCTTCGTCATGATGCTGACGGTCAACCCCAAGTGGCGCGACCAGTGGCGCGCCGCGTCCCGCGGCCGGGAACGGCGACGAGCCCCGCACGTAGGTGGACCTACTACGAGAGCCTCGGCTACCCCTACGAGCGGTGGATGCACGCGATGCACACGCCGCTCTGGTTCTGCCCGCTCGTCGATGTCGCCCTCGTCAAGGACCGGCGCGGCCTCGGCGAGTTCGCGCTCGGCGCGGGACGGACCTGCGCCGCCGTCGTCGCCTACATCGTTTTTTACGCGTCCTTCACGACGTGGAACCACGCGCGCACGGGCTGCTACGTCTACCCGTGGATGTACGACATCGACGCGTCGGGCGCGGGCGCGGCGGGCCACGCCGCGTACTACGGGGGCCTCTCCGTCCCCGTCTGCGCCGCCGTCCTCCGCGTGCGCCGCGCGGTCGTCCCGCGCGCGGAGAAAGAAGCATAGGAATCATCTCTCGGACGTCCAGGGCGCGGCCCAGGAGGACCGGCGGCTCGCGTCGTGGTAGAAGAAGGGCCGCGCGTCGCCGTCGCCGTAGCACAACGTCCAGTCCGGCGCGAGGAGCGCCTCGGCCGGCGGGTCCCAGGACGCGGCGCCCGACGCGAGGTCGAGGAAGTAGCGGCCGCCGTCGTCGGCCGCGCACCGCATGTGCGGCCGCTCCCAGCGGGACGCGCCGCTCGCCTCGTGGAGCCAGTAGGGCTGCTCCGCGTCGACGAGGACCCACTCGGCGCCCTGCGCGCCGCTCGCCGGCGGCGCCTCCCAGGCCGCCTCGCCGGCGACGCCGCGCTTGTAGTAGGCGACGCCCGTGGCCGCGTCGACGGCCCGGACCCAGTCGTCGTCGTCGTCGTCGTCGTCCCACTCGGCGACGCCCGTGGACGCGGAGAGGCGGTAGGTGCGGCCCGAGGCGACGTCGTAGCACTCCGTGGCATCCGCCTGGGCCAGCGCGGCCTCGAGCGCCGCCGGCGGCAGCCACCGCGTCTCGTTGCCGTCCGCGTAGTAGTACGCGCGGCGTCCGTCGTCCCAGCACCGCCGCCAGCCGCCGCAGCCGTCGCCGGCGACGCGGCCGCCCGCGGGCCGCTCCCAGACGGATTCGCCCGAGGCGTCGTCGACGTAGTAGAGCCGCTCGTGCGTCGGGTCCCAGGCCTCGGTCCACGCGCGCGTCGCCGCCCGGGGCGCGGCCCGGGCCTGCGCGACGGCCCGGGTCGACGCGGCGGACCTCTTCGGCTTCGTCGGCGCGTCGCCGAAGGACGCGGCGGACCTCGTCGGCTTCGTCGGCGCGTCGCCGAAGACGGCGCGCCGCGCCGCGTTCTCGAAGAAGCACTCCCAGACGGCGACGACGCGCGCCGTCTCCGCGCGCCGCGTCGTCACGACCTGCCGCAGGTAGGCGACGATGGCGCCCTGGCCGTGCTTCGCCGCGACCATGACGGGCGTCTCGCCCCGCCGGTTCTTCGCGTCGACGTCGACGCCGCCGGCGACGAGCGCCTCGAGCGCGCCGGCCGCGCCCGCGCGGCTCGCCTGTGTGGAAATCAACCACTGGTTTGGGGGGTCCCCACCGAACTTCAGAACTCTCTATCTCGGTCAAATCGAAGTCGATTCGGCTGATTTTTGGACGAATCGATTGCTCTGGTTAAGTTTTCGAAGCACAGCAGAAAGCCTTGCGTCGAAACGGTCGCATACGCGCACATTGAAGTCGGGTTGAAGATTTGATTTCCACACAGCGACTCGCGACGTGCGCGGGCGTGTCGCCCTTTCGGTCCTCGCGCCCGCCGCGCGGGTCGGCCAGGACCAGCAGCGTCGCGACGTCGCGCGCGCGGGGCTTCTTGGATAAAGCAGCGAAGTGGAGCGGCGTCCGGCCGGCGTTGTCGGCGACGCGCGCGGCCCTGGCGTCGTGGCCCAACAGGAGCTCGACGGCCTCGCACTCGCCCTCCTCCGCGGCGGCGCGCAGGCCCGCGGCGACGGCGGCCCGCGGCTGGGGGGTGCGCAGGAGGAAGGACATGGTCGCGAGGTCGCACGCGCGCGACGCCTCGGCGAGGAGCTCGGCCGACGGGCCGGCGGCCGGGGGGCCGTCGCTCCGCGCGGGCCCGTCGTCGGGCCGCCGCCGCGACGCCCGCGACTGCGACGACCCGGGCCGCTGCTTCACGGTGTAGAGCTCGGCGTCGGCGTACTTGCCGCGGCTCGCCGTGCCCACGGGCTTGGGCCTGCCGGGGGCAGCAGAGCGGGCCGGCGCCTTGGGCTCCTCGTCGGAGAAGCTGACGCGCCGCGTCTCGCGCGGGGGCGTGCGGCGCGGGTCGGAGAACCCGCTGTCGGCGCTGGAGGATGCGCCGGCGCCCATCTGGGCAGCCCGCACGCTACGTAATTCGTTCCATCACATGCCGGGCGGCTCCGGGTTGAGGACTGCAACAAGACGTGCAAACAAACTGACCTTGCCCTTTCTCCGAGAGGTCCTCGAGATGGTGGCAGCCCGCCGTAGCTCGTCGGCTGGCGCGTCGCCGCAGAAACAGGAGAAAGCGCCGCTGAAGAAGAGGGGGAGCAACACCGCGAAGGGCCGGTTCGTCAAGCTGATAAACTCCTTGGCGCGCAACGAGGCGACGGACATGTCCATGTCGGTGTCGACCGCGTGTCAGCGGCTGCAGGACAAGTTCGGGAACCCTTTGTTCTACGACGAGCAGCCCACGGTCAAGTCCGGTCCGGTGGGCGTCCCGAAGCTGCTGGAGCTCATCATTTGCTCGTCGCGTGCCGCGAAGTTCGTGCTCTACGGTTCGATGGAGCACACGGGTGTTCAGGTCGTGAGCATCCGCCAGGCGAGCCAGACGCTGCTGGACATGCAGTTCGTTAATCACGGAGATGAAATCTGGAAGCGGGACGCGGCCGTCGCCTTGGCCCAGGGCCTGGTTAAGCTTCGAACGAAAGCGCTATGCGAGAAGCTGGACGCGTTGTGGGCGGCGTTGAAGGGCCACCTGGCGCAGTCCGTGGAGGGCGAGCACGATGACTTCGCGAAGAAACCCATCGACTTCGACGTGGAGGGGCACGTCTTCGGCGGCGCGTACATCGGCGCCGGCAAGACGATGGAACCTAGGATCCGCGGGATTGGAGCCGCGTCCCGTGTGGAAACCAAATCTTCAACCCGACTTCAATGTGAGCGTATTCGAAGGTTTTGACACGAGCGCTTCCGCTGTGCTTCGAGAACTCGACGAGAGCGATCGATTCGTCCAAAAATCAGCTGAATCGACTTCGATTTGATCGAGCTAGAGAATTTCAAAGTTTGGTCGGGACGTGCCAAACCAGTGGTTGATTTCCACCACAGGCCGCGTCGGCCATGGTCAACGTCGACCTGCTCGTCGAGTCTGCAAACACGCTGATGATCGACGCCATCAAGATCGCCGACGAGGGGTCGATTGAGCGAGCGGAGTTCCGGAAGGCGCTAGGCAAAGGTCGAGATGTTTGCTCGGCGGCTGAGCTTTCGAGCTCGACGTTCATGCTCACGGCGGCTTGCACCGACTACTTCATCGTCAACGGCGCCCTGTCCAATCACCTACCTTCGCACAAGCTGACGCTGGCCAAGCGCCTCGCGGACCACGGCCAGGGCCGCTTCCTCGCGGACCTCGAGGCCGGCCGCGACCTCGACCTCGCGGCCTTCCAAGCGCAGATCTACGAGCTCCTCATGCCGGAGATCACGACGTTCTTCAAGGCCTGCGTGTCGCTCGCGACGAGCGACACGACGATCGCGAGAAGCTTCGCCGGCGGGCGCGGCGGCGGCGTGAACACGATCTTCGAGGTCAGCGTCGTCATGAACAAGATCCTGGACAAGCTCAACGCCGTGCCGGCCGGCTTCAGGCGTTGCACGGTCGACGGCCGCCGAGTGTTCTACGTGAACGCGAGGGCTTTGCCGACGCTAGAGCTCCTGCCGAAGGGCTCCTGCCGGGCCAAGAGCCTGGGCGCGAGCTCCATGTGCGGCGACTCGGGCGACGCCGCGGCTCTCGAGGTCGGCGTCCAGGACGCCGTCCTGTTCGGCGGCGCCGCCGACGCCAAGGCGGCGGTCCTCGTGCGCGACCACTTTAGGGAAGTGGTGCGGAACTCGGTCCCGCCCGCCCGCGGCGGGCGGTGGTCCGAGCCGTCCGCGTTCGCCCGCGAGCGCGCCGACCCGGGGCCCGCCCCGCCGAGGTTCTGCGGGTCGTGGTAATCTAGACGCGTCCGGGACGGTGGCATAGCCTAGGCCTGGCTATCCTTTTAGAGCACCTCGAGCCTAATTGCCACGACGCCGCTCTCCGCCTCGACGTCCGCGTAGGTGCGGCCGTCGAAGCAGCCGAAGGAGCGGTAGATCTTCACGCCGTCGGCGACGGACGGGCAGCCCGGCAGGCACGCGTCGAGGCCGCAGTAGTCGAGCATCTCCTCGAAGGTGTCGAATTTCACGACCTCTCTAGCCCGCGCGTAGATGAGGTCCGAGCTGCCCGAGATTTTGAACATGATCCAGTCGTCGACGGACAACTTCTCGAGCCATTTCGTGCAGGCGCGGCCCTCCCAGGTCTTGGCGCCGCTCATGATGTCGTCAGCGTACTTCGGCTGGATGTACGGGGAGGTGTGGCCTTTGCCGAGCGGCGTTCCGTCGGGCCATCGGCGGGCGGCCTGGACGATCGCCATCGCTGCTCGTTGCCTTTCCGTCTCCTCCGACGGCGGCGGCTTCTTCTTCTTCGGCGGCGCGGCCTTCGGCGGCGCGGCCTTGTTCTTCGGCGGCGCGGCCTTCTGCTTCGGCGCCGCGGCCTTCTTCTTCTTCGGCGGCGGCGCGTCCTTCCTCGGCGACGCGGCCTTCTTCTTCTTCGGCGGCGCGGCCTTCGGCGTCGCGGCCTTCTTCTTCTTCGGCGGCACGGCCTTCTGCTTCGGCGCCGCGGCCTTCGTCTTCTTCGGCGGCGCGGCCTTCTTCTTCTCGACGAGCCTCTTCCTCGGCGCGGCCGTCTTCCTCGGCGGCGCGGGCGTCTTCTTCGCCGCCGGCGCCACCCGCCGCCTCTTCGGCGGCGGCGCCTCCGCCGTGGGCTCGAGCGGTGCGCCGGCGCTGGGCGAGGGCGCGTCGCCGTCGGGCGGCTGCTCGGGCATCGGCCGCGCGGGCGCGGCGTCAGCGCACGGCGCGTCCTCGCGCGACATGTCGACCGTGGCGAGCACAGCTTTCAAAGGGCGCGCATTGTCGGGGAGGGCCGCGGGGTCCAGCTCCGGTAGGTTCGCAAGGCGTCGCACGTACTCGACGAGCGTCGTCCCGTCGTCGAGCCCGCCGAGCGCGGGCATCTCCGCGAGCCGGGCCCGGGTCTCGGCGATGGTCTGGCGCGCCTTCGCGAGGGCGTCGGCGTCACGGTCGAGCTCCACAAGGCGCGCATGGATCTGGGATCCGTCGCCGACGACGACGGACGGGATGTTGCCGAACGCGTCGCCGAGGGCCCTCTTGAGGCCGCTGAACCTCACGAGGCCCCAGTCGATCGCCGATGTGCCGTTGCCGCGGAGCTCGTCGAGCTTCAGGACGACCCACTCCTCCTTGGCCCGCGGGAGCAGGTCCAGGCGGACGACGCAGTCCACGTCTTCGAGTCCCTTCTCCAGGGCGTCGCCGCGCCGAAGTTCGCGGGGCATGGCGCCGTCGATTTCCGTGGAGGTGTCCTGCACGACGGGCTTGGGCTGCGTGCGGAATGCCGGGGTCTTCGACGCCGCCGCCAAGGACGTCGCGGCGTCTTGAGGGCGCACGACCGACACGGTCGCCGCCGCGCTAACGAACTCGGCGGGGCCGTGGAAGTTGGGCTCGAAGAAGAGCCGGAGCCCGGGCACATCGACGGCCGGCTGCTCCTCGAAGATGTCGGGCTTGCTGCGCGCGTACTTCTTGAGGAGCTCCATCATCAAGTAGGAGAGCATCGCCGCGGAGACCCAGAAGTGCTTCTTGCCCCTCCCGCTCTTGAGGTGCCCCAGGTCCGTCGCCGTCGAGTACTCCGTGTAGTCGATGCCCTTGACCCAGGGGTCCCCGCTCGGCTTCTTCTTGTAGGCCGCGACCGCACCGAGCACGGACTTGTCGTCGAGCCCCGGGACGCGCAGCAGCAGAAAACGCTGGTCACGCGCCAAAACCATCCCCGGCGTGACGCACGCGCCAGCGTCGCTGCGCCCGACGACGAAGAGGTCGACGGCGAGCTTCGTCGGCACGCGAGCAGCGAGGACGGCGGCGTGCGCTCTCTGCCCAGCAGGCACCTCGACCGTCCGCACGACTGGGGTGCGCTTTTCGGGCGCAGTCTTTTTGCCGGCCGCTTCCGTGGTCTCGTCGGACATCGCGGAAGGCTTCGCGCGCCCGAGGCAGCGCGCCTAGGGCAGCGGAGCAGCCCTTAAAACTCACCTCCAGATCGACGGGTTTGAGTGGGCAAACTGGAGGTGAGCCAAGATTCGTGAAGCGGGTTGCCGTCCCAAGCTTGAAGTGAATTACGGCAAGCATGGGACGTTCTCCCAAGGAGTCGGGCTGCCTCGACCGCAACGCGTCCATGTCCCGCGCGCTGCTCCTCGACGACGTCGACATCGATCCCGACGCGCGCGTGGCGCCGCTCGCCGTGCTCGACACGGCGAACATCCACGGCATGGACCAGAACTGCTCGGACCTGATGCTCAGCCTCTCGAAGCAGACGGCCTCGCGAACTTTTTGCCAGTCCGGACGTCGACGTGCCGCTCGTCTCCGCGGGCTTCGGCGACATGGCCGCGTCCGAGGTCGAGGGCCCGCGTGTCTCTGCTCGAGCTCTGCGAGTCCGCGCGGCCGCAGCCGCGCGCACTCGAAGGACTGCCACGCGCGCGTCGGCGCGGACGTCGCGCGGGCCGTCGGCCAGGCCGTCCTCGCCGTGCTCCAGTGGTTCTACTGCCACGGCCCGCCGCGCGTCGTCGTCTGGCGCTGCGGCTTCTTCGCGGACAAGCACTCGAAGAAGATGCTCATGAGCATGCTCGAGGCCGCGCGCGCCGTCGTCGGCGCCGTCGACGGTGGCGCCCGACGTCGAGGCCTGGACGGCGTTGCTCTTGGCCGACCTCGACGCCGGCGGCGCCGTGCGCTGCACCGTGGACGTCGTCGACGGCGGCGCGGCCGGCCGCGAGGCCGTGCTCATGAGCATGCCCGTGAGCCCCGCGTCGACGCCCGCGCCGGCGCCGCCGACGCCCAGGAGCCACGGCGTCGACCCGGGCGACGAGAAGAACGCCAGCCTCATCGACGTCGGCGCCGTGCGCTGCACCGTGGACGTCGTCGACACGCTCGACGGCCGCGAGGCCGCGCGCGGCGCGCGGCCTTCCGCGCGGCCGGCGCCTGCCGCCTCACGGCGGGCTGCTACCACCAGGGCCCGCGCGACGCGCCCCGGCACGCGCTCGGGGGGGCGCCTAGGTCCTTCAAACTCGCCCGCGATCACGGCCTGCCAAAAAATTTTTACTGGTCCCCCCCTGCCCATGCAGGCCGTCGCAGTGGGGCGGCCTTTGTACGACGTCCACGCCTGAGTTCGTCGGGCCCAGGACGTGGTAGCCCGCGTCCGGACGTCCGTCGGCGCCGGGGACGGCATTTTGACCGAGCCGCCGCCAGCGCAGGTCGTGGCTCGGCGCTTTGTCGACGGAGACCTGCCTGGCCCCAGACCCCCCCCCAGGGCAGTTGTGAGCGGGTCGCCGCCTCGCCGCTGTTGCTACTGCGACCCGTTGCAACACCTGCACGCCGCCGTCTTGTGCGTCCTCGCCACCCCCGCCTCCGCCACGCCCGCCACGACGCTCGTCGACTCGAACACGACGCTCCTCGACTCGCCCCTCATCATGCAGCACCAGGACATGGAGGACCAGAGCGACATGAGCGACGACGGATTGGAGCGCCAGCGCCAGGTCAAGTTCAGCCAGCGCCACGACTGCGACGAGATCGTCTCCTGGCTGCTCTCCAAGAGCCGTGGCGGCCGCCTCAACCACCTGGGCCTCGGTTTCAAGTACGGTGACGACGTGATCGCGCCGCTGCACGACGACGGCAAGCTCCGCGACTTGCTGGACCGGCAGTCGAATTTGGCGGCCATGGTCGTCCTGGGCTACGAGCGTGGCGACGAGGGCGTGCTCCAAGCATCGCCGGAGCTGTACGCGCGCGGCGTCCGCGAGAATCGCGGAATTGGGTACGCGCGGCCCCGTTCGAGAACCGTCGAGAGGTTCGCGCGACAATACCCGCGGACCGCGCAACTCGCCGGAATCGTCAATTCGGCCGCGTTGGAAGCCTTCGACGCATTTTCTCTAGGTTCGGCGAGGTCGTCAAGGAGCAGATGCTCGAGACGATGGCGAACTACCTGCTGTCGTCCAAGTTCGAGTCGGACGACGACGTCGCCCACTACCTCGCGATCGAGAACGACCCCGTCGTCAAGGTCGAGCTCGCGGCCCACCTGAAGTACCTCGTCGAGCACGGCATCACGGGGCCCAACGTGCTCCACTACGGCGGCGTCGTCGTCGGCTCCACGCTCGCGGAGCGCCGCAGCGTGCACGACGGCGGCGAGGAGAAGTTCGCGATCTCCCGCGCGGCCTCGTCGCCGACGCTCAAGGCGACGTTCGTGCACGTCCGCGTCGCGGTGGCGACGTCGGCGACGGAGGCCCTGCAGATCGAGGCCATCATGGGCCAGGCCTTCCGCCTCGGGCGCGGCGCGGCGTCCGAAGCCGACCGTCGGTTTTCGAGACCCGCGCGAACTTCGGAACTCTCGAGCTCGGTCGATTCGCAGTCGTTTTGGCTGATTTTTGGACGGATCGATTTCTCTCGTCGCGCTCTCGAAGAGGCGCTGAAGAGCCGCGCTGTCAAACAATCGATTCGACGCAGGCGCGGCGGCATCGGCCTCAACAAGGCCCACATGGGCCCGTGGCGCTACGGCCGCGGCGGCGACGGCAAGGGCATCTACGCGCTCTGCCTCCTCCTAGACTGGGAGCGCGGCGCGCTCACGGGCCGCGAGGCCGTCGCCTACCTGGAGGACCCGCGCCGCGGCGACGACCTCATGCTCGCGGCGGCCCTCCGCGAGCACCTCGAGAGCTCGTTCTGGGCCGGCCGGCTCCCGGAGGGCCAGTCCCCCTTCGGGACGTCGGTGAAGACGCTCCAGCACATCCTCGCCGTGCGCGGCGGCGAGCGGCTCGCCGAGATCAAGGCCGAGCTCCGCGCGCGGCTCCTCGAGCTCCACGTGCGCTTCTTCATGTCGAGCGTGCGGGGCTACTCCGCGTACCTCGTCGCGCTCTCCTTCGCCGTGCTCAACGCGACGGCGCTCGCGACGGCGGCGGGGGCGAGCCCCTCGGTCGTCGCGGAGCGCGCCGACGAGGTCCGCGACATCTTCGGCGACGTCGCGGGCTACGTCGACTGCGAGCTCGACGCGGACGCGGACGCCGCGGCGACGGCGCTCCGGTACCAGACCGTGTCCGGCTGGGTCTCGCTCGCCGCGAGCGGCCTCGACTCGGCCCACGCCGCGGACTGCGAGCGCCAGCGCGACTACCGGGCGAAGCGCAAGGCCGTCCTCGCCGACGGCCGCGTCGTCGACGCCGCGACGGCCTTCGCCGACGCCAAGGCCGCCTACGCCGTCTCCGCGGCCGAGTCCGAGGCGCGCACCGAGCGCGCGCGGGCCCTCCCGACGCCCGTCGACGCCGAGCGCGACCGCAGCGCCGCCGCGGCCGCCCTCGCGGAGGCCGACGAGGTCCTCGCCAAGGCCAGGGCCGTCCGCGCCGCGGCCGCCGCCCGCGACCAGCGGGCCCGGGCCGTCGCGTGCGAGGTCCGCGAGGTCGCCGCCGAGGCGGTCGAGGCCGCGGAGCGCCAGCGCCGCGACGCCGCGGCCGTCGCGCGCACGGAGCGCGAGCACGTCGCGGCCGTCGCCGCGGCCGAGGCCGAGGCGCCCAAGAAGAAGGCCAAGGGCGCGCCCGCCGCGCCGCCGCGGCCCGTCGTCCACCCGCACGGCCCGCCCAGGGTCATCGTCGTCGACCGCGACGTGCACCCGCCCCAGCTCCGCGGCCGCGCGGGCGTCGACGCGCTCCGCGCGGAGAAGGCCGCCGCCGCCGCCGCCGCGCCGCCGCCCGCCGCGCCGCCGCCCGCCGCCGCGCCGCCGCCCGCGCCCGCGCCGCCCGCCGCGCCCGCGCTCGCGGCCGCGCCGCCGCCGCCCGCCGTGGCCGCCGCGCCGGTCGCCGCCGCGCCCGCGCCCGCGCCGCCCGCCGCGCCGCCGCCGCCCGCGCGGAAGAAGCCGAAGACGGCCAAGGCCGCGCCGACGGCCGCCCTGACCGACGACGAGACCGCGGCCGCCACGAAGCTCGCCGAGGCGTGGAACGCCTGGAATGATTCGCTCCTCAAGGTCCGCAACCTCGAGCCCCAGGGCAAGGGTTCCGACGCCTTCTACGCGGCGACGGCCCTGAAGAAGTGCCTCCACCGCGCGTTCCGCGACCTCTCCAATTTGGCGTCGGAGCACGTCAAGGTCGAGGCCAAGAAGCTCCGGAAGGCCGCCGCCAACTAGGCATCTAGTCCCGCGCGCGCGCACGCTAAAGGCCGCCCGAAGCCCGCGCTGACGACGTAGGCGGCGACGGTCGCCGAGTCCGCGGAGCGGGCCGTCGGCAGCCGCTCGAGGCGCAGCTCCACGTCGCAGTCGACGCAGCCACCGACGAAGCCGTCGTCGACCTCGTCCACGCGTACGAGTCCCGCGAAGGGGTCGACGCGCTCCACGACGCGCGCGTCGGCCTCCAGCTCGACGCCGCCCGCGTCGACGCGGCCCGCGAGGGTCGGCAGCAGCGCGGCGCCGTCCGCCGGGCGCGGCGCCGTGCAGGCCCACGGCTTCCTCGCGCCGCCGCGCCACGCGAGGAGAGCGCGTCCGCCGGCCGGTACCCGACGGCAACGTCGGCGACGAGCGAGCCGACGTGAGTCCTCGATGTGGCGGCGCGCGGCTGCGGCCAGGGCGGCAACGAGCACGCCGTTGTCGAGGCGCACGGACAGGACGCCACCGTCCTCGACGCCGTGGAAGAGCGTCGCGTGGCCCAGGCAGCTGCACGGCCGCGCACGCGGACCGCGGCGGCATGACGTCTTCGCAGTGCTACCACGAGGGAGTCGCCACGGACTGCGCTGCCGCCCCCGCCGCGGAGCGGCGCCATCTCTCAGCGCCGCGAGCCGCGAGCGCGCCGACGCGACGTAGTCGGCCGCGGCCGCGCCGGCCTGCCCGAGCACGCGCACGGCAGCCTGAGCGTCGCGCCGCGCGCCGTCGGCGCGTTGCGCGCCATGCGATTTGACATGGCCGTGCACGTGGCGCGCGGCGCGAGGTAGCCGTCGAACCTGTCGCCGCCTGCCTAGCCGAAGCCGAAGCAGCGCACGGCCTAGCCGAGGCCGAAGCAGAGCACGGCGCCCGCGGCAGCGACCGCGAAGCGCTCGCGGCACCTCGTCGCGCAGCAGATGCGAATACTCTCGCAGCATATCTAACGATTCAATGCTGCATGTCGACGCAGCACTCGACACTGAGGAGCGCGCATCGGGGCGCCGGAGAGCCGCTCGTGAGTGGTAAAATTTTACGGGCAAGCTGAAGCGACGTTGCCTTCGATTTTCCCGGGGCATGGCCGCGTGACGGTCGCCACGCGCTGACGATCTACCCAGCCGGTGGTTCGGTGCCTCGCGCGGCCCATCCGCCCGAGGGCGCCGTCATTCGGAATCGACGCGCTTCGTGTCGCAGCAGACGTCGTCGTCTCATGCAATCGGGTGAAAGCTGCGGCGGGGCGCGCCACCGCGCCGGCAGCCGGACGGGTCGCCGCCGATGGGGGCGCGAAGACCGCCTGCGCGCGAACCGCGTTTGGAAGACTCGTCAAAAACCGCCGCAGGACTGCCGACGGACATTCGTTTTTGCCCCGGCCGAAAGCGCCGGCTCGCCCTCCTCGCTGCAAAATCGGCGAGACGACGAGCGAGCTCGGTAATGAGGCGGCGTCCCAGTCAAAGCGGGCGGGCGCGTGTTCAGTTTTGACGTCGGCGGTGCGGCGGATTTGACGCGGTGCGGACGACAGCGGCGCGTGCGAACACCCACGGCGTACTCCGGTGGCGCGACGTCGGCGAGCGCCCACGCTCTCGCTGGACGGCCGCGGCGCCGCGTCGCCGGAGTTGGCCCGGGGCCCCCGCGGCCCGCCGTCTTTGCGCCGCCCGTGCCGCCGCAGCGGCGCGGCCGCCGTACACGGCTCACCGCGCCGCGCCGCTCGAGAGGGGAACGCGGCGGACCGGCCGCGCGCGCGCCGACGGGCCGCCTCGCCCCCGATCGCGCGCGGACCCCCCCTCGACGTCCCGGTCCCCCCCCGCAGGAACATGTCGGACTCCAAGGGCAGCGTGCGGTTGTACGTCAAGGGCGTCGTCCTCGGCTACAAGCGGGGCCTCCGGAACCAATACGTGTCGACGTCGCTGATCAAGGTCGAGGGCGTGCAGGACCAGAACGCGGCGCAGTTCTACCTCGGCAAGCGCATCGCCTACATTTACAAAGCCCACACGGAGAAGAAGGGCACCAAGTTCCGCGTCATCTGGGGCCGCGTCATGCGCGCGCACGGCAGCAGCGGCGTCGTCCGGGCGAAGTTCCGCCGCAACCTCCCGCCCCAGGCCATCGGCGGCCCCGTCCGCGTGATGCTCTACCCGAGCCAGATCTAGGCGGCCGCGCCGAAGATCGCGGGCGTCGACGCGCCCACACTCTAAAAAAAAATCTCCCGTTCCTGTGGTCGCCGCGCCTGCCCGTAGCCCCCTCACTGACACCACCTCCTTACCCCGGCGCCCGGCAGAACTGCCTGTGGACCCCCCAGACGGCGCGCTGGCACGCGCGGCCGCAGAAGGCGACGCCCTTGCAGCGGGAGCACGACGACGCCGCGAGCTCGCCGCAGCGGAAGCAGCGCGTGAGCGTCGGCCGTTTCGGCGCGAGGAGCACGTCGGCGACGCTCCGCAGGAGCCGGGACCGCTCGGCGCTCCCCGCGCCGCGCGCCGCCGCGACGGCCGCCGCCGCGCCCGCGTCGCGCTCGAGCGCGGCCCGCACCTCCGCGGCGAGGGCGTCCCCCGGGACGAAGAGGAGCAGCGCCTCGAGCGCGCGCGCCGCGGCGACCGCGAGGGCCGCCTGGGCCGGCGTCTCGACGGCGTCGCCCGCGAGCCGCGCGCAGAGCTCGAGGAAGCGGCCGAACCACGCGCTCCCCCGGACGGTCGAGAGGAGCGGGTTCGGCCCGGGCGACAGCGACTCCGCGACGAGGCCGAAGGGCCCCGCGAGCATGACCGTCGCGTAGTCGTCGCTCCGCTGCGGCGGCGCGAGGCCGCGAACGGCGTCGCCGCTCCGGAGGTACGCGCGATGGAGCGGGAGCGAGCCGTCGACGGCCGCCGCCGGTCCGACGGCGGGGCAGCACGCGGCGGCCGCGAGGAGCGCGTCGACGTGTTTCGGGTCCGCCGCGACGACGTGGGCGACGGCCGCGTGGCCGCCCGCCTTCGCGCGGACGCCGCGGAGCCCCGCGGCCGCGCGGAGGCACGCCCTTTGGAGCGGCGAGAACGCTCCGAGCGCCGCGGCGGCGACGGGCAGGTCCGCGTCGTCGACGCGCGCGTCGCGGCCGTCGTCGACGAGCAGCGCGCAGAACTCGCGCGCCGCGAAGACGGGGTCGAGGCTTGCCGTCGGGCCCGGCTTCTTTCGCCGCCGCGGCGGCGCGGGGCTGCCCCCCGGGCCCGTCGGCGGCGCCCGCGGCGCCTCGGCTGTGCGCGCGCCGTGGAGCGAGACCTGGCAGTCCGTGGCGTTGGAAGGCGGACGCGACTTCGCGATGGCGTTGCGGACGACGCCGTCGAGGTAGGCCTCGGACAGGTCCCCCATCACGGCCCTTGTGAGTTTGACTTGCACCCGAGCATCTCCCGAGCACGCTTCGCCGCTTCGTGTGTTTAACGTCTCACCACCGCGGAGTCGTCAGTCCGCCCCGCCCCGCGACTCCACGGCGCCGCCCGCGCCGTCCCACCTCGCGAAGCATGCGCGCCGCCGCCGTGCGCCCTCCTCGCCCTCGCCGCCGGCGCCCGCGCCGACGGCCACGCCCTCACCGTGGACTGGAAGGAGTTCATGTCCTCCACGGAGCAGGCGCTCACCGCCGACCACGCCATGGACATCGTCTTCGCCTGGGAGGGCGACTACGGCGACGGGGGCACGCACAACGTCTACATGATGCCCACGAAGGAGGCCTACGACGCCTGCGACCTCTCGCAGATCGTGACCTACGCCGAGGCGCGCCACGGCGACGACGCGCACGAGGCGAGCGGCTTCACGATCTCGGCCCAGGAGCTCGCGGAGGCCTACGGCTACGACACGCCGACCTACTGGATCTGCGAGGTCTCGGACCACTGCGCGAACGCGCAGAAGATCACGATCACCGTGAGCGGCGACGACGAGCACGCGGACGGCCACCACGACGGCGACCACGACGGCGACGACGCGGAGGAGCACGACGACCACTTCTCTGACGGCCACGACCACGGCGACGCCGCGCCCGAGGTACCCGTGCCCGAGGAGTCCGACGCCGCGGCCGCGGCGCGCGTCGGCGCCGCCGCGCTCGCGGGCGCCGCCGCGCTCCTCCTCTGAAGTCGCGGCCGACGCCCCCCCTCCCAAAGACGACGCGCGCCTCCAGCGACCCCCCCCCGCGCACACGAGTTAGACCTCGGTCAGACGAGCGCGTCCCCGAGCGGGCCGCACTTGGCGACGGGCTTCGACCACACGACCTCGCCGCCGCGGCCGATGCGGAGGTCCGGCCCGCGGATCGTCGCCCAGTAGTCGTCGGCGACGGGCGGCTTGCGCCAGAAAAATCGCGGCTTCGAGCGCCAGAGCACGTCCGCGGACGCGTCGGGCCCGCCGTGCAGGTAGAGCGCCCCGTCGCTCCGGAGGCCGACGTAGCGCGCGTCGCAGTAGGCCGGGTGGCAGCGGCCGACGCAGCTCCGCAGGCCCTCGCCGACGCGCAGCGTCACGCCCGCGGCGAAGGGCACGCGCGTCGCCTGCGGCGGGCGCGGCGCGGGCCCGGTCGGCGGCGGCGCGCGCGGTCGCGGCGCGGCGGCGGCGCTCCGCGCGCGCGCGCGGCGCAGCGCGCGGCGCGGCGGCGCCGGCGCGCGCGCAGCTCTTGTCCTGGAGCTCCGCGGACGGCAGCAGGAGCCCCCTTTCGATCAACGCGAGTTGGAGCTGCTCGCGGCGCAGCGTCGCCGCCAGCAAGAAGAGGCCGAACCAGTAGAGCGAGACGAGGAGCACGGTCCGCATGCCTTCGGGTGTGAACTGTGTCTGCGCGGCGGGCGGGCCGCGGCGTCGCGCCGCGCTTTGCCACAGTGGCAGATCAAGAGTTTGGAGATCGGGCCGATCGAGCGCTGCCGGGGAGGCTCCGGGGCTGGGCGTCCAGTGCGCGCGCGCCCCAGGCGCGACACCCTGCGCCTGGGTATCGCCCTCGTTGGGTTTTGAGGCTTCGTCGTTGGCGCGTGTTCTCCGACCGACGGCGAGAGGCAGCCCCCCCACTGGCTGGCAGGGTTATAGGCGGCTCGCTCAGGCTCGCTTGCGGCCACGCCGCGGCCGCCGGCGGACGAATACGGCCCTCGGCGCGCCGTGTGGACAGCGTTGGCGGCTCGTCAGGCGATTCCGCCTCTCATATGCATTGGAACTCAAATTGGAACGACCATCGAGGCGCGCTCCTCTTCGCTCGCGCACTAGTGTCGCGAGCATTCCTTTGAAGGAACCAAGTGCTTTCCATCTGCTTGAAAAACACGAAGAGAGCTTTGCCTGAGGCCGAACGTGCCGGCTGGCTTTCGACTGAAATCGACGACGACAACAGTTACTGGCGCACGAGAGGTTGCTTCCCCAAAAGGCAAGATTGGCAGCTTTTGCCTCGTTCACACTAATAAGAAGTCTTGAGCTCTCATCGGCAACTGACGCCGCTGCAGCTCTCGACACGGGCGCAGCTCTTCGTGACACGCCCGCCCCCGCGCCCGCGCCCGCGGGGCCCGGCCGCGCCGGGCCCGCGCCGGCGGAGAACCCATGGCGTCCGGCGTGCTCTACCGCCTCGACGGCGACCTGCGCGTGAGCGCCTTTGTGGAGCTCGACACGGGCCGGCGCGGCCCGTCCGTCGCCGGCGAGGACGCCAACGCGGCGACGCCCGTGGGTCTGGGCGAACCCTTCCTGAGCCGCGTGGGCTGCATCCAGCCCGGCACGCTCGTGCGGTCCGTCGGCGAGCTGCGGAGCGGCGCGTCGTCGAACTGCCCGCACTTCCACCGCTGGTCCGCCTCCGGCGACCCGACGGTGACGATGAGCGGCCTGCGGCGCGTCGCCCTCTGGATCAACTGCGGCGACGAGGCGGCGGTCATCGAGCTGCCCGCGTCGCGGAAGAAGGGCCTCACGGAGGGCGCGTCGGTGCTGACCGCGGCGGGCGCGTCGGCGGTCCGGCCCGTCGAGGTGCCGGCCGTCGCGCGCGACTCCGAGGTCCACGGCGACTGCGACCGGGCTTTTGCGGTGGCGCCGGGCTCGGATCTGGTGGCGGGCGAGGCCGCGGCCATCGCGTGGCTCCTGTCGGGCAACGGCGCGAGAGCGCGCGAGCGGTGCTTGCAGAAGTTACGGGGCGGCTCCATCGACCCGCCCGCGCGGAGGATGGAGCGGAGCGACGCGTCGGGCGTGTCCATGTCCCTCGCGGGCTGCCCGAACATCGGCAAGACGGGCGTCGCCGCCGTCGCGGCCGCGCTCTGCGACCGCGACGCGCTACGGGTCTTAGGCGTCGACGGCGGGCCCTTGGTCGCGCTGCGCGCGCTGGACCTGAGCCGCTGCGACGTCGGCGACACGGGCGCGCGGGCCCTGGCCAAGTGCTGCGGCGTGTCGACGCTGGAGCTGCTGTTCCTGCGCGGGAACCGCGTCACCGCGCACGGCGCGACGGCCTTTGCTTCTTCTCTCGCGACGCAGCTCGAGGTTCGAAGGCGTCCGACGACCCCGCGGCGCGGCTCCACGCGCCGGGTTTGAGGACGTTGGACCTCGGCGAGAACCCGGGCGTCGGCTCCGGGGGGGCCGTCGCGCTCGCCGTCGCGCTGCGGACGAACGGGCGATTGCGAAAGTTGCGGCTCGACGGCTGCGAGGTTGGCGACGCGGGCGCGGACGCGCTCGCCGCGGTGCTCGCGGAGCGCGGCGGGAACCGGACGCTGGCGTCGCTGGACCTGGCGTGGAACTGCCTCACGGAGGCGTCGCTGAACCGGGTGCTCGACGCGGCGCACGCGCCCGACGGCGGGTTGGGCGCTTTGTCCGTCGGCGCCGTCGGCCAGGAGCCGGACCCGGAGGCGAACGTCGAGCGGGACGCGTCGGACTTCGCCGCGGCCATGGCGCTCCAGCCGCGGCCCCTCAAGTACATCGCCGGGCGCAAGGTCGGGGAGGTCCGCGTCGACGGCAAGCGGACGTTCTCGGCGTTCGTCGTCGAAGGGGCAGAAGAAGTACAGTCCTCAAAAGCGCCGCGGCTAGAAGAAGGCTGGGGCCTCGCGAACGCGTCGGCGCTCACCCCGAGCCCCCAGGCGACGTTGGTGACCGCGCGGTCGCCTTTACGGATGCTCGACCTCAGCGGCGTCGTCTCGAGCCACGCGCTCTTCGTCATCGCCGACGCGATCGCGGGGCGCCACACGCCCCGGCTCGAGACGTTGAAGGTCGACGGCGGCACCTTCGCCGACGACTGTTCGTTGCAGGCGCTCATGGCCGCGCTCGCGCGCGACGGCACGATCCGGAGTCTTTCTTTAACGAACAACTCGATCCGCACGGCCGGCGCGCGCGCGGTCGCGTGCTGCCTCGCGCAGAACACGACGTTGGAATCCGTGGACCTGACGGGGTCCCTGGACGGCGCGCCGCCGGAGGCCGACGATGAAGATAAAGATCTGGAGCGCAAGGCGCACGCGGCGCTGGTGTCTCGCGCGCACGTCGCCGCCGGCGTCATCGCGAACACCGCGTCGCGCCTCGGCCGCCTGGACGGCTTAGCCCTGGGCGAGAGCCTGCGGGACCTGGGCGCCGGCGGCGACGAGCTGCTGGCGCTGGAGAACGCGACGCTGCTGCCCTGGCTCCAGGACCGCGCGCGCGACGAGGCCGCGCTCGCGGTGTCGCGCGGCGGCGCGCCCAAGCCGGCGACGCAGCTCCTGCTCACGAACGCGACGAAGGTGCCCTTCGACATGACGGAGCTCAAGGAGCTGTACCGCCACTACTTCTGCGCCGCGGTGCCCCGCGACTTCGACGAGGCGCCCGACGATCGCGCGCCGCCGCCGTTCCGCGGTCTGGGCGACCGCAAGGGGCAGGCGGAGGCCATCTGCCTCTCCGACAAGTGGCGGCGCGTGTCGGCCTACCCCAAGTTCGCCCAGGCCATCGAGGGCCTGCTGGCCGCGCGCGCGGCGTCGCGCGACCGCCGCGAGCGCCGGTCCGTGCTCGGCAAGGTCCTGGGTTTGTTGCGGCAATTACGCTACTACGCCATGCAGGAGCGCGACGACTGGCTGAGCCGGCGCACGTTGATTGTGGACGACTCGCAGACCATGCGCGCGCTGCTGCGGCGGACGTTCGAGAACGCGGGCTTCTCCGTCGACTGCGCGTCCGACGGCCGCGCGGGACTCACATCTTCAACCCGACTTCAATGTTGGCGTAATTGACGCCGGACGCTTCGGCGGTGCTTCGAGAACTCGACGACAGCAATCGATTTGTCGAAAAATCAGCCGAATCGACTTCGATGTGACCGAGCTCGAGAGTTCTGAAGTTTGGTCGGGATGACCCGGCTCACCGTTTGATTTCCGCGCAGGTCCGACGGCCGCGAGGCCTACGAGGCCATGAAGGGCACGCGCTACGACATGGTCGTCATGGACCTCGACATGCCCGTCATGGACGGCGTCGCGTCGACGGCGTCCATCCGCCAGTGGGAGCGCGCGACGCCGTCGACGACGCCGCAGCGCATCTGCGCCATCTCCGCGGACACGTCCGCGGGGTCCCAGGCGCGCCAGGCCGGCGCCAACTTCTTCGAGGCGAAGCCGCTGAAGATGGCGGGGCTCCTGGAGAAGACCCACGAGGAGATCCACGCGACGGTGTCCGCGTGCGAGACCGCGCGACAGCCGGCGGACCTGCCGCCGTCGACGGCCGCGCCGTCCGCGTCGGGCGACTGCGCCGAGGGGCTGTCCGACGGCCTGTCGTCCGGCGCCTGGTCCGACGGCGAGCTGTCGCTGGGCAGCTTCGGCGGCCCGCGGGGCTTCGCGCTCATGCCGACGCTGCCGCCGGCGGATAGCGCGGCGGACGCGATGATGCTCGAGTGCGCGGCCATGCTCTCGTCGAAGCGCAAGCGCCGCCGCGACGCGCCCGTCGCCGACGACGACGCGTCGCCGCCGCCGGCGGCCCTGCCCCGGGGCCTCGAGGAGATCGAGCCCGCGCCCGCGCCGGCGAAGGCCGCCGCGGCCGCGAAAAGCCTCCCGGAAAACGACTCGCCCTCGCCGCCCGGCGACGCGCCGCGCCTCGTCCTCGCGGCCGACGGCAGCCCGCCCGACGGCGCGCCGCCGCGGCGCCTGCCCCCGGGCCTGGTCGACGGCCGCTTCTGCTACCCGGGCGCGGGCACGGACGACGAGCGGAGCCCGCCGAGCGACACGCGGTCGCCGCCGGAGCTCGGCCAGCAGCTCGCGCAGCGCGAGCTCGCGCCGCCCCCCGGCGGCATGGCGCCGCACCCGGCCTACGCGCCGCACCCGGCCTACGCGCCGCCGGCCTACGCGCCGCCGCACCGCGACTACGCGCGCGCGCCGCCGCGCCAGCACCACCCGGCGTACTACGGCCCGCCGCCCGGCTACGGCCCGCCCCACGGCGGCGGCTTCGCGCCGCCGCCGGGCTACGGCCCCCACGCGGTCCCGCGCTTCGCCTACGACGCCGCGGCCGCGCTCGACGACCCCTACCGCGGCGGCCGCGCGGCCGCGTACGCGGCCGCGCGCGACTTCGCCGCGCGCGGCGCGGCGCCGGGCTTCTACGACTACCCGCTCCCGCCGGCGGCCTACTTCCCCGACGAGGCCGCCCACCTCTACCCCCACCACCCCCGGGGCTAACAGGTCCAGGGCTGTGTCTCGGCTGGTGTTTTCGACGGCACATTAGGATCGGAGAGGCGGGGACACAACAACGGCGCCGCGCGCGCTCAGGCGCCGCGCCCCCCGCGGCCGCCGCCGCGGCCGCCCGCCTTGCCGCCCGAGTCGCCGCGGCCCCGGCCCTTGCCCTTGCCGCCCTTGCCCCGGCCCCGGCCGCGGCCCGACGTGTTGACGCGGCCCCGGCCGCCCTTGCCGCCCTTCTTCGCGTCCTTGGCGGAGATCTCCTCCTCCTGGACGAGGTCGATGATCTCGTCGGGGATGCGTAAATACTTGATGCTGTTGCCGCGGATGTAGCACTCCTTGAGCTTCCAGAAGCGGTCGCCGTCGCGGCTCGTGCAGATGACCTCCTCGAGGTTCACGTTCATCCACGTGTCGGCGCTCACGAGGCGCCCGTTGTAGGTGTCGCCGTTCTTGAGCTCGATGAGCATCGGCTGGCCCTTGGCCGTCGTCAAGAGGCTCAGCGGCAGCATGGCGGTCGACGGCGCGGCGCGCGCGAGCTCGCGCGCGGCGCGGGCGCAGCGGCGAGTCGACGAGCGGGTGCGGGCGCGGCGCGCAGGGCCGAGTGGCGCAGGCGCGAGCACCGATGAGCAGCGGCGACTGGCTCGAGCTGCTCCGAGGTACATGGTGCTGCCGTGTTGCTGCTCGTGTTCGTGCTCCGCTGCCCCAGGGACGATGGCAGGTTGGTGACTGTTGGTGCCGTCGTGCTCCTTTTGTTCGACGATGGCCCGCGTCGTGGCCCGCGACGGCGAGCTGCGCCTGGAGCTGCGCGAGGGCGCGATCAAGTTCGCGGCGAACGGCGCCGAGTTCCGCGGCGCCGACGACGCCGACCGCGTGGGCGTGCTCGCGGCGCACCTGGCGCGGCTCGCCGGCGCGTGGGGCGGCGACCTGCGCGTGCGCGTCCGCGCGCGCGCGCGCGCGCCCGAGGGGGCGATGACGCCGCTGCAGCTCGGCCAGGCGCGCGCGCTGTCGCTGCGGCGCGCGCAGACCGTGGTCTCCGCGCTCGGCGACGCCGGCTGCGACCCGGAGTGGCTCGCGGCGTCGTCCGACAACCCCGCGCCGAGCCCGGCCGTCGACGTCGTCCTCCTCTGCGACGACGCCGCGGGCCTCGCGAAGGCGGCCGCGCGGCTCTTCGCGGGCGCGGCGACGCCCGGGGCAGCACAAGAGAGCGAAATTCCCAACTTCAAAGGCTCCTTTCTCGGCCGTTTTCCACTCGTTTCGGCTAATTCTTGGACGAGCGATCGTCTCTCGGGACGGTCTCGAAGCGTGGATGTTTTTGTCGGAACGCGCGCGCGCGGAACACTCACGTTGAAGCGACGTTGAATCTCTCTTTTGCTGCCCAGGCGACGCCGACGCGGGGCCTCGAGACGGCCGTCGCGACGGCCGAGGCCGAGGGCGTGGCGCCGGACGACCCCGACCTCGTCCGCGCGCGCGCGGCCCTGGAGCACCTGCGCACGTTCAGCGCGCCCCAGACGTCGCCCGTGCGGCGGCCGCGGGCTTTGGGCCCGCCGAGCCCCGTCGTGAGCCCGCGCCGCGCCGGCCGGCGGCGGCGGCCGCGGCGCGGCCCGACGGAGACGGCGGAGGAGCCGGCGGCGTCGGCCGCGCCGAGAGCGCCCGCGCGGCCGCGGCGCCACACGGCGGGGCACGTCGCGCTGCCCGCGGGCTTCGCGCCGCCGGAGCCGCCGGGCGACCCGGCCTGGGCGTCCCACGACGCGCTCCGGTGCAAGGTCCGGGCGACGCGGGACTCGTACGCGGCGTCGCTCGCGAGGATCCAGCGCGCCGCGGCCGAGCCCGCGGCGCCGCCCAAGGACCTGCGGGGCCTCGTCTGCGTGCTCGACGGCGGCCGGCCCCTCGCGTCCGCGGACCGGCGCCGCGACGCCGTCGCCGGCGAGCGGCCGCGCCGCGACCGCCGCGCGGACGCCGTCGCGGGCCTCGCGCCGCGCGCCGCGTCGCACCCCGACCGGCGCCGCGGCGAGCTCGCGGGCACGACGCCGCGCGCGTCGCGGCGCAGCGACGCCGTCGCCGCGGCGCCCGCGACGCCGCGCGGCGGCCGCCGCGACGACGCCGTCGCCGCGGCGCCGGGCGGCTTCTCGCCCTTGCGCTCCGCGGGCCGCCGGTCCCTGTCCCTCGGGTCGAGCGCCGACGGGAGCCTCTAAGAATTAGTAGCCCAGCGCGCAGCCGTCGCCGCGGGGGTCGGACCCGGCCCAGAGCACCGTGTCGCCCCGCTCGCCGCGCCGCGGCTTCGCGGCGACGATGAGCTGGCCCCGGCCGAAGAGTTTGCGCGCGTAGGAGCTCACGCCGCGGACCACGACGTGCCCCCGCGCCTCAAGCGCGTCGGCGACGCCGTCGTCGAAGCCCGCCTCGAGGTGGACGACGACGTCCCGGAGCGCGCCCCGCCGCTGCAGGTTGCCGCCCGGCGCGGGCGACAGGCAGAGCCGCGGCGCGTCCAGCGCCGCCTGCGGGTCCATGCCAAAGTCCAGCACGTTGCGCAGCACCTGCACGTGGCCCTGAGGTTGCCTACCAAGCATGACGGTGACGATTTCTCATTGTTTTCCCGCCCGAAATCTCTCGAAAATCGTCGCGGCCACGGGACGCTGGGGGCTGCATGAAGCCGCCCATGACGCCGAAGGACGCGAAGAAGTCGCCGTCCTCGTCCGTGACGACCGCGGGGATGATCGTGTGGTACGGCCGCTTCCGCGGCGCGAGGCAGTTCGCGTGGCCGTCTTCCAACACGAAGTTGTAGCCCCGGTTGTGCAGCGTGAAGCCGCACCCCAGGGGCGCCAGGCCGCTGCCGAAAGAGCAGTAGTTGGAGCAGATGAAGGCGCACGCGTTGCCGTCGCCGTCGACGGCCGTGAGGAACACCGTGTCCGTGCCGAGCGCGTCGAGGGCCGCCGCGGCGTGGGGGCCGTTCGCGCCGCCGAGCGCGCGGCCCTCGCGCAGGAGGGCGCGGTGGCCCGCGACGCGCGCCGGATCGAGCAGTTTGGCGACGGCGCCGTCCGCGCCGTCGCCGATCGTGTCCAAGCCGTCGCTGAACGCGAGCCGCAGCGCTTCGATCGTCCGGTGCGCGTCCTCGTCGGGCGTCCCCGGCCCGAAGCCCTCGAGGATATCCAGCGCGAGCAGCGCGACGGCCCCGGACGAATTCGGCGGCAGCTCCCAGACCGTCTTGCGCCGGTAGTTCGTGGACACGGGCTCGCAGACTTCCGTTTTGTGCGCGGCCAAATCCTCGAGCGCGAGCAGGCCGCCCTTGCCGCGCACGGCGGCGACCAAAGCCTCGGCGACGCGGCCTCTGTAGAAGCCGTCCCGGCCCTCCGCCGCGAGCGCGCGGAACGTGCGCGCGAGCTCGGGATTCCGGAGGACTTCGCCGCGCCTCGGCGGCCGGCCGTCGACGAGCAAGGCCGCCGCGCCCGGGTTCCCCTCGAGGCCGCCCCAGCGGTCCGTCAGCTGGTGGGCGTTCTCCCGCCAGAGGCTCGCGGCGACGCCGTGGATCGGCGCGCCGGCCTCGGCGAGCTCGATCGCGGGCGCCAGAACGTCCGCGAGCGGCGCGCGCCCGAAGGTCTCGACGGCGTCGGCCCAGCACGCGGCGGCGCCGGGCACCGTGACGCAGTGCGCGCTCGCCTCGTCGAGCATGCCGCCGACGGCGGCGCCGCCGCGCGGGCCGCCGCGGGCCTCCGCGATCGCGAGCGTCAGCGCGGCCGGCGACCGGCCGCTCCCGTTCAAGCCTCGCACGGTCTTCGTTTTCGCGTCGTAGTAGACGCAGAACGCGTCGCCGCCGATGCCGCACTGGCACGGCTCCGTCACGTTGAGCGCCGCGCAGGCCGCGACGGCCGCGTCGGCGGCGTTGCCGCCGGCGCGCAGCACGCGCAGGCCCACCTCCGACGCCAGCGGCTGCGACGTCGCGACGCAGCCGTTGAGGCAGACGATCGGCGACCGCCGGCTGCGGAACTCGAGCTCCTCAGGCGCGGCGAACATCGTGTTGCGGTGCGCTCGAGTTGTACTGTGCTTGCTGTGCGACGACGACGGCTGTGGTGGTGCACTGCGAGAGCCGACGTGCTCTCCTTGGCGCAAGGCGCGCTTCAACGTGAAGTTCAAGTGAAGGCGGCACTGACAGGCTTACCGCCCCGCATTCGCGGTCCCTAGGCCCAGCCGAGGGACGCCTCGACGGCCTTGTTCCAGGCCGCGACGCGCGCCGCGCGCTCGTCGGCGCCGATGGCCGGCGCGAATTTCGCGCCGGCGCCGTCGTCGTCCGCGAGCGCGGCCGGCCCGTCGAAGACGCCCGCGCCGATGCCCGCGGCCACCGCGGCGCCCGCGGCCGTCGTCTCCACGTCGGCGGGCCGGTAGACCGCCGCGCCGGCGATGTCGGCCTGGGCCTGGAGGAGCTCGTCGGAGAGCGCGACGCCGCCGTCGACTTTTAGGGTCGTGAGCGCGTTCCCCGAGTCCGCGACCATGGCCTGGACGACGTCCGCCGACTGGTGGGCGATGCCCTCGAGCACGGCGCGGGCCACGTGGCGCTTGTCGTGGGCCAGCGTGAGGCCCACGAGCGCGCCGCGCGCGTCGTCGCGCCAGCGGGGGGCCAGGAGGCCCCCAAAGGCCGACACGAAACACACGCCCTCGGCCGAATCGACGGACGCGGCCAGGGCCGAGATCTCGGGGGCCTCCTCGAACATGCCCAACGCGTCGCGGAACCAGTTGATGCCCACGGCGCAGCACGCGACGGCGCCCTCGAGCGCGTAGCGCCTCGGCCCGCCGCTCCCGAACTGGTAGAGCGCCGTCGAGAGCAAGCCGTGCGTGCTCGCCACGGGCGTCTCGCCGGCGTTCATCAGGAGAAACGCCCCCGTGCCGTAGGTGATCTTCGCGTCGCCGGGGTCGAAGCAGCGCTGGCCGACCATCGCCGATTGCTGATCGCCGAGGATGCCCGTCACGGGGCAGCCCGCGAGCGCTCCCGCGGCGATGGCGCCGTAGGGCTCGGCGGAGCTCACGATCTCCGGCAGGCCGCCGACGGCGCTCGCGACGCCGAGCTTTGTCGCGTTGTCCGCGTCCCAGGCGCCCGCGTCCAAATCCATGAGCATCGTGCGGCTCGCGTTCGTGAAATCCGTCGCGTGGCGCCCGCCGTCGGGACCGCCCGTGAGGTTCCAGAGCAGCCAGGCGTCGACGGTGCCGAAGAGGGCGTGGCCGTTGTCGAAGCCCGCCTTGACGTCCGGTACTTCGTCCAGCAGCCACCGCAGTTTCACCCCCGAGAAGTACGTCGAGATCGGCAGGCCGCAGGAGCCCCGGAGCGCGTCGAGGCCGCCGAGCTCGGCCTGGAGCCTCCGCGACACGTCGGACGTCCGCGCGTCGTGCCAGAGGATGCAGTCGTGGAGCGGCGCGCCCGTGCGCTTGTCCCAGACGACCGTCGATTCCCGCTGGTTCGTGATGCCCACGCCGACGACCTCCGACGCCTTGGCGCCGGCCTTGTCCAGGGCGCCCGCCGCCGAGGCCTCGACGCTCGCGAGGATACCCAGCGGGTCCATCTGGCTCCAGCCGGGCTGGGGGTTCGTCGTGCAGGACTGGAGCTCGACCTGGTGGGAAGCGACGGGAGCGAGGGAGCCGGCGTCGTAGAGGATGACGCGGCTCGAGCTCGTGCCCTGGTCGATGGCCGCGAGGTAGGACGCGCAGCGCGTCTGTGCGACGCGGCGGGCGCGGCGCGCCACCGACGCGAAGAGCGTCGAGTGCATGGGAGCCATTGTTTATTGCCAGAATTCTGCAACACGACTGCAAGAGGAGTTCAATGTGCACTCCCGAGAGCTCACAACCCCCACCGCGCCGCGTCGCCCCTTAGACGGCGAGCCTCGCCTCGCGGGCGGCGACCTGGGACTCGACCTTGTGGGCCTCGTTGAGCGCGCGGCGCCGCGCGACCGCGATCTTCATCTGCTCCGCGATCTCCTTCTGGCCGACCTCGAGCTCGCGGATGGCCTCGAGGACGACGACGGACGGGTCGAAGACCGTGCGCCGGAGCTCCTCGTCGTCGTCGATCTCGGCGTCGAGGGCCGCGCCGTCGTCGTCGTCGCCGCCGCCGCCGTCCTCGGCCTCGTCGCCGTCGTCGCCGCCGCCGTCGTCGTCGACGGGCGACGCGCGCGGCGTGTCGCCGGGCTCGAGCTCCTCCTTGTTCGCCAGCTTGAGCAGGTCGTCGGCGCTGGGCACGAAGGCGCGGACGAAGGGCATCCCGTTGAGCACGCGGCAGACGCCCGACGACGCGTAGGCCAGATCTTTCAAAATGACGGGCGTCGCGGACGTCTTGTGCGATTCGTTGAACTCGACGATCTCGTCCTGGGCGCCGCTGACCATGGAGAAGAACATGGAGAGCACGATGAGATAGATGATCATCCAGAAGGAGATGAGCAGCAGCGGCCCCATGTAGCGGTTCGCCGCGAGGAGCTCGCCGAAACTGAAGTCGCCGAAGACGCACTTCACGAGCGTCAGCAGGCTCTCGGTGAACGTGCGGTAGCCCGCGATCGTGAACCCGAACATCATGTCGAAGCTGATGGCGTAGCCCACGAGTAGAATGCCGATGACGACGCTCAGCACGGCCATGCGCGTCATCGACAGCATGAGCACGTCCACGGGCAGCGTCAGCGTCTTGGAGAAGCGCACGTACTTGAAGAACTTCATCACGGACAGGATCGCGTTGATGGCGTTGACGCGGTCGCACCAGAGGCACAGGTCCCGCAGGTGGATGGTGTCGAAGTAGACCTCGTCCGCGTGCGCGAAGTCCTTCATGAGCGGATTGAACGCCTGGCGGATCGCCTGCGCCAAACTCGAATCTTCAACCCGACGTCAATGTGCGCGCGTGCGACCGTTTCGACCCGAGTGCTTCTGCCGTGCTTCGAGAACTCGACGAGAGCCATCGATGCATCCAAAAACCACTCGAATCGACTTTGATGTGACCGAGCGAGAGAATCTTCAAGTTTGGTTGGGACCCCCTGAACGATTCGGCGCGGCGGATCGCGAGCCGGAGCACGACGGTAATAAAAAAGCACAGCAGGTTCACGAACTCGATGAGGCGGTAGGCGTCCCGGAAGTAGAAGGACCAGTGCCCCGCGAAGCCGTAGACCACAAAAAGCTCGTAGGCGAACTTGACGATGACGTAGACGTTGAGCAGCACGAGGTTGACGGTGTAGAACGCGTTGTCGTAGGTGTCGAACATGAACATGACGTCGCGCATGGCCACGTGGTACCAGTGGTACTCCGGGATGAGGTCGCCCGCCGGCGAGTAGATCGTCGCGATCTGGCAGATGGACAGGATGTCGACGTCGGGCGTATAAAGCGTGAACTCGACCCAGACGCCGCGCGTGTTCCGGTCGAGCCACGTCGTCCGCTTCAGCTCGAGGAGCTGGGCCTGGGGGTTCGACGCGTTGAGCACGATGGTGTGGCCGCCGTAGCCGAAGAACTGCTGCGCGCCCACGGACCAGTAGGGCGAGCGGCGTAAACCCGCGGTCGGCTCCTCGTACTCCGTGAAGGTCCACTTGTGTTTGTCCACGAGCTCGCCGTGGCGCCGGTAGGCGTAGGGCCCGACGCAGTTCAGACACGCCTCCTCGAACTGGCTCGGCACGGCGCAGTTCCGGCCCGTCTCCATGCGGAGCTGGCGGATCCTCACGAGGCCGACGCGCATGGGCCCCCCGTCCGCGAGGTAGCGGCGGCCGTCCTCGTCCAACGGGTGGCCCATGTAGTTCTCCGTGGGGTAGAGCGTGGGGACGAACAAATCCCTGAGCCACAGGCTCCACTCGTTCGTGTCGAGCGTCGTCATGAAGGTCTTTTTCGGGTACCACTCGCCCTGCGTGAGCGCGTTGTCCAGGTAGAGGGAGATGTAGAACTTGTGGCCGCTGAGCGAGCCGTAGAGGTAGTTGCCGAAGAGCACGGCGAAGAGGCCGAAGACCAGGAGGTCCCAGAACTCGCCGCCGAAGCGCCGCTTCGTGCAGCGCGGGAGCAGGCGCCGCGGCGCCTTGACCACCGTGCCCTCGGGCCCATCCTTCGCCCGCTTCGCGGCCTCGGCCTTCTCGTAGGCCGCGGCCTTCTTCTTCGACTTGACGCAGCGGCTGAAGAACCCCATAGGGCCGCCGTCGACCGGCGCCGGCGCCGCGGGCAGCGCTTGTCCTGTCCGCTGCCGCTGCAAATTCGCTGCACCCAAAAGGGCAGCCCAAACCATTCGTTCAAAGAGCCTCTTATGATGCGCTGCTAGGCCTTGCCTTGAGCAGCTTCGCCTAGGAGGGCGTCGTCCGCAGCGTCCCGAAGCTCGGCGTGAGACATGGCCGCGGATGATGGCCGCGAGCTGCGCCACACGTTCTCCCTGGAGAGCGAGACCTACGACGACGAGGCCGAGGAGCCGCTGACCCCGCAGGAGCTGCGCAGCCGGCCGCCGCCGCGGCGGCTGCGGTCCCTCGACGAGCTGCCCTCGGCGGGGCGGTCCGTGACCTTCCGCGCCGGCGACGGCAAGCCCGCCGCCGAGAGCGACGCCGCCGACGCCGCGTCGCCCGGCGCTTCCGCGGCGTCGCCGCGCGCGGCCCAGCGGCGGCGGCTCCTGGCGCCCATCCGCCTCGACCCGGCGCCGCGCGGGTCGTCGTTCCGGCTTTTGAGCCCCATCCGCGCGGCCTTTGGCGGCGAGCCGGGCACGCCGCAGACGCCGCGCACGCCCCTGGCGGCGAGTTTAGGCGTGGCCCAGTGGGTCGAGCTCGCGCCGGCCATCCTGCCGGAGTGGGCCGAGGAGGCGGAGCTCCGGGAGCTCGAGGAGCTGCACGTCGCGAACGCGCGCGTCCAGGACCTGGACTGCGCCGAGGCCTTCGCGGCGAGCGAGATCAAGTACGCGCTCATGCTCCTGCAGCCGGGCCTCTTCGTCGCCTACGCGCTGCGGTCGGCCTACCACGACGGCTGGGGCGGCGGCGAGGCCTGCGCGGCGTCGCTGCCGTGGTGGATGATGGGCAGCGGCTTCGTGGGCTGCCTCCTCCTCGTCGTCTTCTGCGCGTTCGCGAACGGCCGCATCCCCTTCGACGAGCGCGCCTACACGTGCGCGTGCTGCTGCCTGCCCTACACGGCGCTCCTCGCCGGCGGGTGGGTCGCTTTGTACGCGTCGCGGCCGAGCTGCGGCCCGAAGCTCTACTACCTCGCGTTCTGTTTCGGCGTCGTCTACTCGGCCTACTTTTGCGTCGTCGTCGCGGCGCTCGTCGTCTTCGGCGTCTGGTGCGAGCGGCGCCGCGGTCAGCCGTTCCGCGGCGTGCCGCTGGCCTTCATCGTCATCTTCGCGCCGCTCCACCTGCTCATGCCCGGCGTGCCCGTCATGCCCCTGCGCTACCTCTGGCTCGGGCCCCGGCGGCGGCGGCGCGCGTCGTCGGACGAGCCGCGGGGCGACGCGGAAGACCCGCCGGCGGCGCCGCCGCCCGTCGCGGCCGTCGCGGAGGTGGAGCTCCTCACGCCGCGGTCCGTCTGCCCCGTGTCCGCGCGCGGGAGCGGCGGCGGCGGCTGGGACGTGCCCCGGCGCGTCCAGAGCGGCCCCCTCCAGCACGTCTAGGATTAGGACGAGAGGGGCTCCGTCGTCGAGAAGGAGGACCGCATCGTCCGGAGCTGGCGGCCGAAGTTCTTCCACTGCGCGCGGTCGACGCCGCACTCGAAGACGACGAGCTTGCCGTCGTAGATCGTGGCCGTGATGAGCGCGACCTCGACGGGCTGGCAGACGACGACCTCCTGGTCGGCCCGGGAGCACCCGTTCGGCGGCGGCACGGCGAGGTCCCACTCGTAGAACAGCTGCCCGGACAGATCCGTGCGCTGCTTCGCGGTGACGAAGTCGCCCGTGGCCCGCGCCCCGAGCAGGTCCAGCTTGCCCAGGGGCACCTTCTCGATGCGCCCGAAGTCGGCCATGGAGCTGAGCGTCGTCGGCGCGGCGTGCGCGCGTACAGAGGACGTGATGGACCCGAGCACGGTCTCCGAGATGGCCTCCTTGTCGCGCTTCCACGTCGACGGCATCTCCACGGAGCCGGGGCCGTAGGGCACGCGCACGAACGTCGCGTCGGGCGCCGGCGAGTCGTCGGCGATGGCGCGGGCGGCGCGCGGTGATAGGAGGGGCGCGGCGAGGCCGAGCGGGAGGGCCAACGCGGCGCGCCGCGAGAGTTCCTGGCTCGGCGCGACGCGGGGCGCGCGCGGCGACGGCGCTAAAGCGTGTGCGAGCGTCGCGAGGCTCAGGAACCGGCAGAACGCCGTCAAAGTCACTGCCATAGCTCAGCTCGTGTCGGTCAGGTCAATGTTGAAGCACTCATTACACCCTCGTTGCCGTTTCTGCCGCAGCTGCGCTGCCGGCAGTTGGACCCACGGAAAGGCCTCGTAAACACGACACGTGCCTTAGGGCGAGAGGTAGTAGGAGTCCGGCAGCTTGGGCGCGAGCACGCCGCGCGGCGCGAACGTCCCGCCGCCGGTCCGCTCGGCGACGAGGAACGCCGCGACCTCGCGGAGGAGCCTGCTGTGGTCGCGCCACCCCTTCAGGCGCGTCTCCGCGGCGTCCTCGACGAGCCGCACGAGGCTCGCGGCGTCGGCGAGGCGGCCGGCGACGATGAGGCTCGCGAGGACCTCGGAGAGGAGGATGGCCGGTTCCGGCGTCGCGGGGTCGACGCGCGCCATCCAATCGGCGACGATCGGCCCGAGGACCTCGAAGCGCTCGACGCCCCGGAGGAGCGGCGCGCCCGCCTCCTCGTCGGCGTCGACGCGTCGTCGCTTCGCCGCGGGCTCCTCCGACTCTTCGGTCGCGGGCGGCGGTCCGGGGGGCGTCGGCGGCGACCCCGCCTCGAGCCTCCGCGCCAGCGCCTCGTCGCGCCGGCACTGCGACGACTGCGACGCCGCCGGCGACGCGGCCGCGAGGCGCCGCGCCTCCGCCTCGTCGCGCCGGCACTGCGACGACCGCGAAGCGGGCGACTGCGAGAGCTCGCCGTTGGCGACGCGCCGCGCGAAGTCCTCGTCGCCGGGGCGGACGCCGGCCTCGACGCGCCACATCTCCTCGTCGCGCCGGCGCTGCGACGACCGCGACGCCGCCGGCGACGAACTTTCGCCGACGTCGTCGAGCGAGGACATCTCGCGCGCGCCGGCCCGGGCCCGCCGCGCGACGTCGTCGTCGGCGAGGGCCCGTTGCGCGAAGTCGTCCTCCGCGAGGGCCCGCCGCAGCGTCTCCGGCGAAAAAATGGGCGCGCCCGTCACCGTCGCCCGCCGGCCGTCGCCGTCGCCGCCGTCCTCGCCCTCCTCCGGCCTCGAGGGCGGCGGCGCCCGCGGCGCGGCCACGGCGAAGGCGGACGCGGACGGCGCGGGCGCGACGAGCAGGTAGGGCCCGTGCGGCAGGAGCCGCCGCTCGGTGGCGCAGTCGACGACCCAGCTCGGCGTCACGACGGGCTTGGAGAACCCGACCTTGCGGCTGTTGAGCTTGCGGACCTTGCCGCCCGCGAGCGCCGCGGCGACCGTGTGCGTGACGCGCGTCGTGAGCGTGTTCTCGATCATCCCGCCGCCTTCGCGGACGAGCGCCGCGAGGTCGTCCGGCCCGAGGAGTTTGCCCGTCGCCGGGTCCGACACCCGCATGTAGCCGTCGAACCAGACGACGGCGGCGCCGAAGTGGGAGCCCGTGATCTCCTGGCGCTCCTCGAACTGGCGGTCCAGGCGCCGCGCCTTGGAGATCATGTAGGCCCGGTGGTCCAGGGACCCGGCCTCGTCGGCCCAGTGCGCCTCGTCCATGGTTGCGTTTTCTACGTCGCTCGGCGCTTTTTATGTCGCACAGGGAGCTCTAGAACGTCGCGTTGCACGGCCTCAGGCGCTAAGGCGCGACCATCGGCCCGACCAGTGGGGAAACTTTGGGGAAACATTTTTGTTGAAGAGGCAAAAGCCGAAAAAAAACACGTCCCTTTACCGTAGGATCTTCTTCGACACGAGCTTCAGGATGAAGCCGTCGACGGGCAGCGTCGGCGCCGGCTCGTCGGCGTAGCCGAGGCGCTTGTAGAAGCGGTCGAGCTTCGCGTCCTCCGTGTCGTGGTGGAGCACGACGACGTCCTCGTCCCAGCGCCGCGCCTCGGCCTCGCAGGCGCGCACGAGGGCCGCGCCGATGCCCTTCTGCCGCGCCGGCGGCGCGACGAGCAGGTTCGACAGGTAGGGCTTGAGCGGCTCGCCGCCGCCGAGGAGCCGCTTCACGAACTGCGGCGGGGGCACGGGCCCCGCGAGCCGGCCGAAGGGCTGCATGCTCAGTTCGACGACGCCCACGAGCTCGCCGCCGCCGTCGCGGCAGCAGATGACGCGGTGGTCGCGGTCCACGCCGTAGGTGAGCCGGAGGAAGAAGCCGATCGCCAACAGCGTCCGCAGGCCGAACTTGCTCGCGGGGTCGCCGTAGGCCTTGCCGAACTCGGCCTGCGCGAGCTCGACGATCTCCGCGAGGTCGCCGACGACGCCGGGGCCGTAGTCCAGAGCGCTCGCGGCGAGCGCCGTCGCGCGGCGACCGGTGTGGCGATTGAAGATGTGTGGAGCGGTCTGCCGTCCGAGCGCGCGCGGCAGCGGTCGCGTGTGATGCGTTGATGGTCTAGTGAACGCGTTGGCGTGGAGCGCGGCGGCGGCAAGCGCCCACCAGCAGCGCCACGACATCGCGCGCTTGCTTGCACTTTTGCTTGCCCAAAAGTTGCCGCAGCACGCCGCGTCACAGCTATGGCGCGCGCAACCAGCGCGATCTTGCGCGGTCTCCTCATCCCATCACTCCTCGCATGCACCCTCGCGCTCCGCGCGCCGCCGGCGCCGCGCACGCTGGTGCTGCGGCGCCTGCGCGCCGGCAGCAGCCACGGCGACTTTTACGACCGCAGCGACGAGGCCCTGAGCTTTTGGGCGCGGCACGGCGCGGACGAGATGCTCGACGGCGGCAACCCGGCGATCATCGCCGTCATCTGGGTCCTGGCCTGGTGCGTGGGCTTCGGGTCCATCATGGCCCTCACGTACCTGCTCGCCTTCGAGGCGTTCGGCCGGGACCTGCTGCGGCCCATCGCCGTGCGCTTTAGCACCGTGCCGCTCGAGGCCGCGCTCGCCGTGCTCGGCGTGCTCTACAGCGTGCTGCTGGGCTCGACGCTGTCGGCGGCGATGACGCGGCAGGAGGCGCAGCTCCACGCCGTCGGCGCGGAACTCGCGGCGGCGGAGGTCAGGGCAGGACAAGGGTGATTCAACGTCGCTTCAACGTGAGTGTTCCGCGCGCGCGCGTTCTGGAAAAAGCATCCACGCTTCGAGACCGTTCCGAGAGATGATCGCTCGTCCAAAAATCAGCCGAAACGAGTGGAAAATGGCCGAGAGAGGAGCCTTTGAAGTTGGGAATTTCGCACTCTTGTCCTGCCCAGGCGGAGCTGCTCGAGGGCGGCCTCAACGACCTCGACAAGCCCCACATCCCGCCGACGGCCTTCGGCGGCGCGCTCGCGGCTTTAGCGGCGCACGTGCGGCGCCTCGAGACGTCCATCGAGATCTTCTGCGTCGATCCGTCCAAGGTGAAGGCACGCGCCTACGTCGACCCGCTCGGCGAATGCGCGGCGATTCTAGCCGCCGCGGGCATGCCGCCGACGCCGCTGGGGGCTCGAGCCGACCTCGAGCGCCTCCACATGTGCCGCGCGGCGCGGCGCGCGGCCGAGGCGGGCCCGCGGTTCCCGAGCGGCCACTGGGTCGTGCTCAAGACGCTGGGCCTCTTCTGCTCCGTGACCGTCGCGCTCGTCTCGGCGCTGTCGGCCGCGGCCTCGGAGACGTCCGACGGCGGCTACCACGGCGCGGCGCTCGTGGGCGTCACGTCGATGGCGCTGGCGCTGAGCGAGACCATCGTCGGCGACGGAGCAGGAAAAGGGTGCGAAATTTCCAACTTCAAAGGCTCCTATCTCGGTCGCTTTCCACTCGTTTTGGCTGATTTTTGGACGAGCGATCATCTCTCGGAGCGCTCTCGAAGCGTGGGTGCTGTTTCCGGAACGCGCGCGCGCGGAACACTCACGTTGAAGCGACGTTGAATCACCCTTTTCCTGCCCAGGTCGGCGACGTCGCGGACCGGAACTCGGGCATGTACACGGCGGCGCGAAGCTTCCTGCCGGGCGTGCGGCGTCTGCGGGAGCGCCTCGAGGGCAAGGCCCTCGAGGCCACGCTGCCGCCGGACGACCAGACGAGCGCCCACGGACTGTATCGCGGCCTCGCGGCGCCGCCGCCCGCGCCGTACGGCGGGCCGCCGCCCGCGCCGCCCTCGGAGGAAACCGGCGCCGAGGCCGCGTGGCTCGAGGCCCACGACCCCACGACGGGCATGCCTTTCTTCACGAACGCGGCGACGGGCGAAACGACGTGGGACCGGCCCGAGGGCGTCGACGTCAAGCCGGGGCCGCCCGCGCGCGTCGGCGCTTTGCACAAGCCCGCGTTGGCGCTTAGCACGAGCTTCGTAAAATGATCGTGCGCCTCTTATTATGGGGGCTTTGACGTGGGGACTTTGACAGCCGCCCGTGGGCGGCCGTCGGCGCATGCGCCTTCCCGGCGGGCGCAGCAGCGATTGAATTTTTCATTCAAGTTGACGTACAACATCCGCCAAGCTGTGGCAAAACTAAGCAGCTATGGAGGCGAACTTCGTCGCCGAACAAAACGCCAGCGACGCCAGCGACGCCAGCGCCGCGGCGCCGGCCACGGCGGAGGTGCTCGTCGCCGGCGCGGACGGCGAACCCGTCGCCGGCGAGGTGCTCTACAGCGACGTGGGCCTCAGTTTTTGGGGCGGCGTGTGCCCAGAGTCGGGCACGGTCATCGACGCGCGGCACCCGCTCGCGGGCCAGTGCATCACGGGCAAGATCCTCTGCCTGCCGAGCGGGCGCGGGTCCTGCACGGGGTCGCAGGTCGTCCTCGAGCTCGTGCTCAACGGCGTCGGGCCGACGGCGATCCTCACGCGCGAGGTCGACGACATCATCGCGCTCGGCGGCGTCGTGGCCGAGGAATTATTGGACGCGGCCCCCTTCCGCATCGTCGCCGTCGGTGCGGGCTTCGACGCGCTGGCGGCGCTCGCGGGAGAGGTCGCGGAGGTCGCGACCGACGGGTCCGTGGTGAGTGGTGGTGATGAAATCATAGCCACAACAGCAGCCGCACCACAGGCCGTCGCCAGGTCCGCCCGCGACGAGGCGCTGTTGGCGGGCGCCCGCGGCCCCGCGGCGGCGGCGGCCATGCGCATCGTGCTGCGCGTGGCCGCGTTCCAGCGCGCCGAGTCGTTGGTGTCGGTGGAGCGCGCGCACATCGACGCGTGCACCTACATCGGGCCCGGCGGGCTGCGCTTCGCGGAGAGACTGCATGAAATGGGCGGCCGGTTCTGCGTGCCGACGACGACGAACGCGTGCTCCGTCGACCGCGGGCGGTGGCGGGATTTGGACGTCCCCGACGCTCTGGGTGTTCCCGCGACGCGGCTCGCGGACTGCTACGTGGCGCTCGGCGCCGCGCCGTCCTTCACCTGCGCGCCCTACCTGCGCGACGACGCGCCGGCGCGCGGCGAGCACCTGGGCTACTCGGAGTCGAACGCGGTCGTCTACGTCAACTCCGTGTCCGGCGCGCGCTCGCAAAAGTACGCCGACTACATGGACGGCTGCGTCGCGCTCTGCGGCCGCGCGCCGCACGCGGGCGCGCACACCGACGCGTCGAGGCGCGCGACGCTCGTGCTCGACGTCGGGGGTCTTGTCGCCGCGCTGGACCCGGCGTCGGATTTGGACGTTTTTTTTGCGGCGCTCGGTTACGTGGTCGGCGCCAAAGCGGGCGCGCGGGTGCCCGTGGTCGTCGGTCTGGAACGCTGGCCGGCGGTCTCCTTGGACGACTGGAAGGCGTTCTCCGCGGCCTTTGGCACGACGGCGGCGGCGCCCCTGTTCCACTGCCGGGGGCAGACGCCGTGCGAGGGGCTCCAGGACGACCTCGACGGCGTCGAGACGGTCGCCCTGACGATGGGCGACGTCGCCGCGGCCTGGGCGGACCTCGGCGGCGGCGGCGCGGGCGTTTCGGACGGCCCCGTGGACCTCGTCGCGCTCGGCAGCCCCCACTTTAGCGGCGACGAGCTCGCGCGCCTCGCGGCGCTCGTGCGAAAAGACGGCGGCGACCGGCCGACGTCGTCGGTGCTCGTCACGCTCAGCGCCGAGGTGCTCGCGTCGCGCGAGGCCGACGCCGCCGCGCTCCGCGCCTGGGGCGCGGGCTTCGTCGTGGACACGTGCTGGTGCATGCTTAACGACCCCGTCGTGCCGCCGCCGGGCGGCGACCGCCGCGTCGTCACGAACTCCGCGAAATACGCCCACTACGCGCCGGGCCTCGTCGGCCGCCGGCCCCACCTCGCGGGCCTCGCGGCCTGCGTCGAGGCCGCGCGCACGGGCCGCGTGCCCCGGGCCGCGCCGCACTGGCTCCCGCACCGAGCGTTCTCCACGGCGCTCCGACTTTTACGATAACCTTACTACTGGTAGAGGACGTCGTCCGCGGGCTCCTCCGCGCGGCGCGGCGGCTCGTGCTCCTCGAAGAGGTCGCCGTCCCAGACAAACGAGGGCGGCTCGTCGTCGAGGACGCGCCGGGCCTCGGCGAGGAGACCCCCGATCGGGTTCGCCTCGGGCGCGCGGCGCTCCACGCGGCGCCGCGCCTCGGCGAAGAGGTCCCCCGGCGCGAGCCCCAAGCGCGGGAAGTCGGCCCGGAGCCGGTCCGCGAGGTCGCCCGCCGTCGGGAACGGGTCGCCGACGTCGGCCTCGAGGCGGACGCGCCGCGCCTCCGCGAGGACCTCGGCGTAGGTCCGCAAAAAGTTCAGCTCGCGCGCGTCGGGGCCGCCCCCGCCCGCGTCGTCCTCGTCGAGCGCCGGCGGGTCGTCGAGGTCCACGCGCACGTCCAGCGCCTCCGCGAGGCTCCCGTCCCGGCGGTCGCCGAAGCGCGCGGGCACGCGCAGGCCCCGCGCGGCGAGGTAATCCACATCCAAATTCGGGTCGTCGTGACCGTGCGGGTTCCAGCTGCTAGGAGCTTGAAGAGCACGAAGCGCGCGAGGACGGGCTCGCGCAATTCGACGACGGCGCCGTGCTCGGGCCCGAAGCACCGCGGCGGCGGCGGGAAGCGCACGCGCGCGCGGGGCCGCTCGTCGCGCGGCGCCGGCGGCGCGGCCGCGGCCCGCCGCGACGACAGCGCGCGCCGGCGCGCCGCGTGGACGACGTCGACGCAGCCCGCCAAGACCTCGTCGCAGTCGCGCTCCGCGGCGTCGACGTCGACGGCCGCCGCGGCCTCGAGCCCCGCGGCGCCGCCGTATTTCGCGGCCAGCGCCGGTAGGTCCGGCGGGTCCAGGGACGCGAAGACGAGCGCGTCCTTGACCGGGTTGTCGCCCTCGTACGCCTCCTGGTTGACGACCTCGAAGCCCGAGACGAGGTAGACGTCGCCGAGGTCTACTAACAAATCGACGTCCGCGTCCGCGCCGCGGTCCGTCGACCAGCCGACGCTCCGCGGGCAGAGCGCGCGCGACGGCCGCAGCCCCATGGGCCAGAACTCGCGGCCTCCGCCCGCGGCGACGACGCGCACGTTCGGGGCGAGCGTCGCGCCGACGGCGACGTCGCCCGCGGTCTGCGCGCGGCGGCAGAGCTCGTAGGCGAGGCGCCAGCGCGCCTTCGGCCCGCCGCGGCCGCCGTAGCGGGCGACGACGAAGCCCCGCCAGACGGACGACGGGAGGCCGGCGCTTTGTTTCTTCGCGCGCGCGGCCGCGGTCTCCAGAGCGACGACGGCGCCGGGGCCGGCGTGGGCGAGGATGGCGGCGAAGAGCTCGCTCGGCAGGGCGAGGAGCCGCGGCGGGGCGTCCATCCTCGGAGAGCACGCTCTCCCAGACGGGCTGCACCTGGACGGCGCGACAGAGAGCACGCTCCACGGGCAGCACCTGGACGACGCGACGCCGAACACCTTGCTCCCGGGAGAGCGCCTCGGGCAGCCCCATGTCCGTCCGTTAGCGAGCGCAATTCCCCGCCTCCACAGCCACAATGGCCGACGCCTGCGCTCCAAACGCGCCCGCGCCCGCGCCGGCGCCGACCGAGGCGACGACCTCTAAGGATGCTCCCAAGGAGGAGGAGGAGGCGCCGCCCACCGCCGACGCGGCCACGGCGTCCGCGCCGCCGCCCGCCGACGCGCCGTCGGCGAAGAAGCGCAAGCGCGACAGGGACTGGCCCGACTTCGCGAGCCGGGGCGTCGGCTGGCCCGACCGGCGCCCGCGGGCGTCTCCCTTCATGCACGGCTGGTTCCTCGCGACGCACGAGCGCGTCTTCGCCCACGTGCTGAAACAGAAACCGACGACGATTTTGGAGCTCGGCAGCTGGTACGGCGCGTCGACCGAGTGGCTCGCGAAGCGATGCCCCGACGCGACGATCTACGCCGTCGACCTCTGGGAGGACGCCTTCATCCTCGACGAGCAGCGCGACCACTACAGCACCATGGGCGACCAGAAACTGCAACGCATGCTGCGGTCGCACCCGCTGTACGACACGTTTCTCGCGAACCTCTGGGACGACCGGGACACGGTGGTGCCTCTGAAGATGCGCACGACGGCGGGCGTCGCCTACCTCAAGGAGCGGAACATCGTGCCCGAGGTCATCTACATCGACGCGGACCACCACTACGATAGCGTGAAGGAGGACATCTCCGCGTGCCTCGACGCGTTCCCGGACGCGGTCCTCGTCGGCGACGACTACGGCCACTACGACGACGTGCGCAACGCCGTCACGGAGTGCGCCGTCAAGTACAAGAAGACGGTCCACGTCGACCAGAACCACTGCTGGACCTACGTGAAGATCGACTCCGTCACGGGCCGCAACTTCGTCCCCAAGCCCAAGGCGTCCGCGTCCTTCGCCGACTGCCTCAAGTCGTACTAGGGGGTCATGCGTAGGGGTGTTGGTATGTTTCGCCGCCGGGCGTGCGGGGTCGCGCGGCGCGGCCGCGGTCCGTGGCCACGCGGTTCAAGTTTCAGCGAGCCGCGAAGCGACCTTCTGACGTTCGACAATGATGTCAAAGTCCAACATGGTTCGATGATCGCAGGCCGGCTTGTTGAACAACTCCAAGCAACTGCAATGAAGCGATTTGCCACAGCCACTCACGCACGGCGGGCAATGGAAAACCTCAAGCCGATTTCTTGCGCTTGCGTCTCGGCCTGTCGTAGTCTCGTACGACTGAGCCTGCCCAAAAAGATTGAGCTCATGGCCGCCCGCTGAGCAGGACCTCGAGCGGCGCCGCAATTTTCGCGTCCGGGGCGACCCCCGCAGCGCCGTCCGACGCCATGGGCGGCCCCTTCGACGAGCCGCACCTCGACGACGTCGAGCGCACCTGGGGCGCCGTCTTCGCCGCCGGCGCCGCGGCCCCATCGTCCAAACAGACGGCCTGCCTGCGCGCCTGGTCCAGCGCCAGCGCCTCCGTCGCCGAGTCGCTGACCTTCGGCGAGTTCTGGGCGCGCGCGGTCGCCGTCGGCGCGCGCCTCGGCGGCGGCCACGACGACCGCGTCGTCTTCCTGAGCCACCCGTCCGTGCGCTACTACGTCGCCGCGGCGGGCGCCTTCGCGCGCCAGTGCGCCGTCGTCAACCTCAACTGGCGCCAGCCGGCGTCGGCGCTGCGCCACGCGGTCGCGACGGTCGACGCCGCGGCGTTCGTCGTCTCCGATCCGCTCGCGGACCTCGCGGACGAGGTCGGGTCCTTCCGCGGCGCGCCGCGGCACCGCCTCGACGACCTCTTCGACGAGTCGCCGCCGCCGCCGAACCGGAGCCCCGTCTCGGGCCTTCAGGCCGGCCCGCGCGACGTCGCGGTGGTCATGTTTACGTCCGGCTCCACGGGCCGCCCCAAGGGCGTGCCCATGACCCACGCGGGGCTCCTCCACGCCTGCCGGTCCAAGCTCGTCGCCCACGGCGGTTTTCCGAACGTCGCCCGGGGCACGGTGTCCTTCCTGCCCAACTTCCACGTCATCGGCTTCGTGAACAACTTCCTGTTCAACGGCTACGCGCGCTGCCCCGGCGCCGTGCTCGTCGAGGCCGCGTCGGCGTTGATCACCGTGGATCTGTTGGAGAAGGCCATCGGCGCCATGGCGCCGGACTCGGTGGACACGGTGCCGACGATCCTCGAGGCCGTCGCGAACTCCGCCGCGTCGCGGCCAGGGCAGCAAAAGAGAGCGAAATTCCCAACTTCAAAGGCTCCTTTCTCGGCCGTTTTCCACTCGTTTCGGCTGATTTTTGGACGAGCGATCATCTCTCGGAACGGTCTCGACGCGTGGATGCTTTTTCCGGAACGCGCGCGCGCGGAACACTCGCGTTGAAGCGACATTGAATCACCCTTTTGCTGCCCAGGTCGCGGCCCGACGTCGTCGCGACGTTCGCCAAGGTGCGCCTCGTGACCTGCGGCGGCGCGCCGCTGCCGTCCGCGGCCTACGACGCTTTGAGCGCCGCGGGCATCCACCCCATGCCCCACTACGGCCAGACGGAATTCTCCGGCGGGTTTTGTCTGGTCGGCGCGCCGCGCGCGGGGCGCGACGTCATGCGGCCGGTCCAGGGCTGCGTCGCCCTGATCCTGGGGGACGACGAACCGCCCCTGGCGGGCCTCGACGACCCGCGCCTCGCCGGCGCGGCGGCCGAGGCCGCGGACGCCGCGAGCCACCGCATCCGGGGCGCGTCCCGCGGCGAGCTCGTGGTGCTCCACTGCGCGTCGGCGACGCCGGGCTACCTCGGCCTCGACGCGCCGGACCCGCCCTTTACGGTCGTGCGCCACACGGGCGACGTCTTCGAGCGGCGGGAGATCGCCGAGGCTAGGACGTCCGTCGACGGCACGGCCTCCAGGGTCTACCTCAAGCACGTCTGCCGCCGCGACGACGTCATCATCCACCGCACGGGCGAGCTCACGAACCCGCTGCCCTACGAGGACCTGCTCGCCAAGGCCCTGGGCGCGGCGGCGAAGCGCGTCGTCATGATCGGCCAGAACCGGAACACGCCCGTCGTGCTAGTGGAGCGCGCGACGCCGGAGACGGCCATCTCCCTGAACGCGGGCCTCGGCGCGGCGAACGCGACGGTCGCGGCGTACTCGCGCGTCACCGCGGACCGCTGCATCGTGGTCCAGCCGGGCGATTTACCGGTCTCCGGCAAGGGCAACGTCATCCGCGGCCAGGCCGAGGCCAAGTACAAGGACGCCATGGACGCCATGGACGCGGACATGGCCGCCTTCGAGCAGGCCATGAACGAGCGGAATTCTTCGGCTGTGTCCAAGCCCAAGCCCAAGCACGCCGTCGACGAGGCCGCGGCGCGGTCTTTGGTCGAGTCGACGTGCGAGCGGCTCATCGGCAAGCGCGTGCCCGGCGACGCGCCCCTCCTCGCCTCGGGCCTCAATTCGACGGGCCTCGTGCAGCTCGTCAAGGCCCTCGCGTCGGAGCTCGGCGCGGACCTGAGCCCGACGCTCATCTTCGACTACCCGTCCATCGACGCCATCGTCGACTACTTGTCGGGCAAGGAGGACGACGACGTCGCGCGGGGTTTGGGCGCCGCGAACGGCGCGTCGGAGTCGGCCCAGGCCGTGCGCGCGACGTCGACGCGGCTGCCGTCCTCGCTGCGGTCGCCCGCGGCGCTCTGGGACGCGTCGCAGGCGGGGTCCATCGCCGTCGGCCACGTGCCGCTCGCGCGCTGGGACCGCCACGCCGTCGAGCTCCACAAGGCCCTGCCGGCCAAAGCCTCGAAGACGACGCAGTACGGCGCGTTCCTGAGTCTGGGGCCCGACGTCTTCGACGCCGAGCTCTTCCGCATGAAGCCCGTCGACGTCGCGAACTGCGACCCGCAGCAGCGCTTACTCCTCGAAGTCGGGTTCGAGGCCTGCGCCGCCGGCGGGTTGGACAGTTTGCAGGACGCCGACGTGGGCACGTTCACGGGGCTCATGAACTCGGACGCCATCGCTTTAGCGCCGGAGGCGCACGACCTGAACGCGTACGTCATGATGGGCAACGGCTACTCGGCGGCGGGCGCGCGGCTCTCCTACGCCTTCGCGCTCCGCGGGCCCTGCTTAGTGTTGGACACGGCCTGCTCGTCGTCGTTGATCGCGTGCCACACGGGGCGCCGGAGCCTGCAGCACGACGAGTGCGCGCTGGCGTTGGTCGCGGCGCCGAATCTCATGCTCCTAGCCGGCTACCAGCACCTCGGCACGGCGATCATGGGCATGAACTCGGCGACGGGCCGCTGCCACACCATGGACGACCGCGCCGACGGCTTCGTGCGCGGCGAGGGCGGCGGCGCCATGCTGCTGTCGCACCACGACCCCTCGACCTTAGACGCGGCCGCCACCGAAACCTTCGGATCCGCGGCGAAGCACAACGGCCGGTCCGCGTCCTTCACGGCGCTGAACGGGCTCAGCCAGCAGCGGCTCTTAAAGGCGGCGCTCCGCGACGGTTCCGCGACGGCGGAAAGCGTCGCGTTCCTCGAGCAGCACGGCACGGGCACGCCGCTCGGCGACCCCATCGAGGTCTCGGGCGCGGCCGCGGTTTTGGCGTCGCCGACGTCGAGCCTCGACGTCGGCGGCGTCAAGGCGAACTGCGGCCACGCGGAGGCCGCCGCGGGCGTCTCGGGCCTCGTCAAGGCGAACTAGGTCCTGCAGCGCAAGGCGTCGCCGACGAACGCGGCGCTGCGAAGGTTGAACCCCGAGGTGCGCGCCGTGCGAGGGCTGGAAGTATTTATCCCCGCCGACGGCGACCCGATCCCGCCGCGCCTCTTCGCCGCGGGCGCGTCGAGCTTCGGGTGGTCGGGCATCATCGCCCACGCGCTGCAGCGGAACCGCGACGTCGACGCGCCGGCGCCGTTGGAGCGCAGCGCCGCGAAGCCGTCGCCGTTCAAGAACGCGAAGCCCGTGCCGCCGCTCTACGGGACGCGGCCGCCGCTCGCGCTCTGCCAGGGCGTCAGTTTCGCCGACGGCGCCGTCCGGGTGCTCTTCAAGGTCGACGGGCGGCTCCTGGACTCGCTCCGCGACCACGTCATCGGGGGCGTCGTGTTGTTGCCGGGCGTCGCGTCCGTGGAGCTCGCGCTGTCGTCGACGTTCTTCTACGGGCCCAACGCGGGCGCGCTGGACCGCGCGGCCCTCAAGAGCGTCGCCTTCCTCCGGCCCTGCGCCATCGACATCAACGGCGGCACGCGCGTCCGCGTGACCTTCGACGGCGGCGACTACGACGTCGAAGACGTGACGAAGGCGCCGGTGGTCGTCGCGTCCGCGGCGGCCGACGAGCCGTCGCGCGCGCGCGACCTCGCGCTCCCGGACCCGGCGACGAGCCGCCTCCGGTCGGGCCCGGTCGCGTCCGACTTCCTCGTCGCGGCACCGCCGCCGGCAGTTCCCAGGCCCGCGGCGCAGCGGGCCGGCGTCTACGTGCCGGCGTCCATCGCCAAGGTGTCCTTCCACAAGGCCCTCGGCGACGCGCTGGTCGCCAAGCCGGCGCAGCGCCGCGCGCACTGGGCCCGCGACCGCCTCCTCTTCCGGGACGCGGCGGCGGAGCAGTACGACTGCCGGCTCATGACCAAGGACGAGACGACGCTCAGCGTCGACCGCATCCGCACGCGCGTCATCGCGAGCCTCGGCGGCGCCAGGAGCAAGGAGCCGACGCTCTTCGCCATCGCGCCGCGGACGCCGGCGCTCGCGGACCGCGCCGTCGAGCGCGTCCTCGTGACGACGAACGCCTTCCGGTCCCAGGCGTCGACGAACCCGGGGACGAACTGCGTCGTCCGCGCGGGCTGGGAGTGGTACCCACCCCTCGACGAGAGGCCCGACCGCCACGACTTCTGGCTCCACGTCGGCCCGAAGCCGCACCTCTTCGGCACGGGGCCCGGCGCCGCGGCCGTCGACCGCTTCGTCGCGTTCTCCGACGACGTGTCGTCGCTGGACCTGGCGCCGGCGGCGCTCGCGCCGGGGTCGGGGCTCGTGGCCGTCGAGGCCGCGGCGGGCCCCATCGCCGACGGCCTCGAGGGCATCGCGGTGACCATCGCCAAGGGTCCGCGGCTCACGGGCTTGTTGCTGAAGCTCGCGGAGAACCTGAGCCGCGGCGGCGACGTCGTGTGCGTCGTCGAGAGCGCGGCCGTGCCGCGGCCCCTCGCGGCGGCCGACGTCTTCGTCGCGATTTCGAACGACGGCTTCCGGTCCGCGCTGTCGGCCTTCGCGACGCTCGCGGTCAACACCGTCGAGATCGGCGACGGCGCCGCGCCGCACTGGGCCGACGCGCTCGGGTTCGTGTCGGCCCAGGGCACCGCGTCCCTGCGCCACGCGCCGCCGCGCGACGACGAGCCAAGCCGGCGCACGCTCCGGGGCAGCCCGGAGAGCGTCGCCTACGCGCCCCTGGGCGACTGGCCCGCGGCGGCGCTCAAAACGCTGCGGTCCGCGGAGCACGGCGCGCTGGCCCTCGTCGTCTTCCCGGGCCTGGCGACCGCGAGGGCGCCGGCGCCCAAGGCGCTCGCGGCGGGCGCGCCGCGGCCCGCGCGGCGCCGCGCGGCGCCGAAGCGGGCCGCGGGCGCGTCGTCCGGCGACGTCGAGACGCTCGCGACGGTCCTCGCGCTCGCGTCGGGCCTCGCGGGCAAGCCCGTCGGCGACGACGAGGCGCTCATGGCCGCGGGCATCGACTCGCTCGCCGCGACGGAGCTCGCGCAGTCGCTGGCCAAGACCTTCGGCGTCGACGTGCCCGGGACCATCCTCTTCGACTACCCGACGGCCAAGGACATCGCGGGCTACCTCGCCGCCGAGCGCGGCGCGGCCGGCGAGGCCGACGCCGAACCAACGACGGAGGTCGCGGTCGTCGAGGCCGCGCCGCGGCCGGTCGCCGCCGCGCGGCCGCGGCCGAAGCCGAAGCGGAAGCGCGCGTCGAAACCGACCGGCGACGCGAGCGCGCTCGCCACGGTCCTCGCCCTCGCCTCGAGCCTCGCGGGCAAACCCGTCGGCGACGACGAGGCCCTCATGGCCGCGGGCATCGACTCGCTGGCGGCTACCGAGCTCGCGCAGTCGCTGGCGAAGACGTTCCGCGTCGACGTGCCCGGGACGATCTTGTTCGACTACCCGACGGCCAAGGACATCGCGGCCTACCTCGCCGCCGAGGCCGGCGTCGCCGCCGCCGACGACGACAGCGACGGCGAGGCGATCTTCGAGCCCGGCGCCGAGCTGGTCGTCGCCGCCGCCGCGGACGCCGCGAGCCTCCGCGCGGCGATCCTCGTCGCGGGACCCCGGCTCCCGGCCTGCTGGTCCCTGGCGGACCTCTACGAGATGACCAAGGCCGGCGGCGACTGCGGCATGACCGTGCCCCTGAGCCGCTGGGACGCGACGGCGCTGCCGCTGACCGGCCCCGTGTCGGCGCGGGCCCAGTACGGCGTCTTCATGGAGAACGTCGGCGACCTCGACATGGCCCTCTTCCAGATCCAGCCCATCGAGGCGAACTCGCTGGACCCCCAGCAGAAGCTCCTGCTCGACGTGGGCTACGGCATGCTGAAGCTCCGGGGCCACGACCGCGAGAGCCTGAACGGGAGTCTGACGGGCGTCTTCCTGGGCATGATGAACCGCGACGCCGACGAGATGCTCGGCCCCAAGGGCTTCGACGCCCTGTCGCCCTTCGACCTGACGGGCAACGGCTACTCGGCGGCGGGCGCGCGCCTGTCGTACGTCTACGCGATGCGCGGTCCGTGCGCGACGTCGGACACGGCCTGCTCGTCGACCTCGTCGCGGCGCACGCGGCGCGCCACGCCGTGCGCGGCGACGAGGCCGAGGACGCCGTCGTCATGGGGCCGAACCTGCACCTGCACTGCGGCGTGAACATGGTCGGCGGCGCGGTCGCCGCGATGAACTCGGCGACGGGCCGGTGCCATACGTTGGACGCGCGCGCGAACGGCTACCTGCGGGCCGAGGGCTGCGGCGGCATGCTTTTAGCATTGGATGCCACCGAGGGCGTCGATGCCGCGGGCCTCGGCGTGCGGCACAACGGCCGCGCGGCGTCGTTCACGGCGTTGAACGGCGTCGCGCAGCGCGTCTTGATCGAGGCGGCGGTCGCGGACGCGAGCCGCGAGCCCTGGGACGTCGACTTCCTCGAGATGCACGGCACGGGCACGGCTCTGGGCGACCCCGTCGAGGTCGGCGCGCCGTCGAAGGTTTTGGCGTCGGCGAAGCGGGCCGCGGCGAAGTCCCTCGCGCTCTGCGGCGTCAAGGGCACGTTCGGCCACACGGAGGCGTCGGCCGGCGCCGCGGGCATCGTCAAGGCGCTGGGCTTATTCCAGGGCTGGGACCTCGGGCGCAACGCGCAGCTGCGGACCTTGAATCCCCAGGTCAAGGACGTCCTCGCCGTCAAGAGCGTGGGCGCCTGCGACGCGCTGCCGGCGACGCCGAAGCTCGGCGGCGTGTCCTCGTTCGGCTTCTCGGGCATCATTGCGCACGCGCAGCTCTTCGTCGACGACCTGACGCTGGTCACGCCGTCGACGCCGAAGCTGGACGTCGCCGTGACGCGGCACCCGGCGAAGATCCGCTACAACACGGCCCCCGACCACCGCTTCCTGACGGCGCGGAACGCCTTGCCGCGACCCGACGGCGGCGCCGTCTTCACCTTCGCGCTGGGGCCCGCGCTCCTCCGCGACCTCGGCGACCACGTCGTCTCCGGCGAGGCGCTCTTCCCCGGCGTCGGCTACGTCGAGTTCGCGTTCGCCGGCATCTTTACACGGAGCGCACGCGCGCGAAGAAGACGCGCGGCGCCGCCGTCGCGCGCGTCGACGGCTTCACGTTCCTGAAGCCGACGGTCATGCCCAAGGGCGGCGAGACGAAGATCATGACGCTGTCGCTCTACGCCGACGGCGCCGGCGACGTCGCCTGCGACGGCGCGAGCGTCGGCACGCTGACGTCCGCGAAGGTCGAGGCCGCGGCCAGGGCGAAGACGTCGTCGACGCCCCCCGCGCGCGACGCGTTCCATCCGACGGCGATCACGAAAGGTTTTTCGACGCCGTTCCTTTTCAAGCCGCGGGCGGCGCCGCCGCCGCCGGACGAGGAGTTCACGCTCATCCCCGCGTCGATCACGACGACGACCCTGGACATCGCGGACTCCAAGTACCTCGGCGGCCGCGGCTTCGACGCCGGCGGCCGCCGGTCCGGCTGCGTGGGCCGCTTCGCGCAGACCTTCGCGACCGCGCGCGAGGAGCGCTGCGACTGCTCCCTGTCCGGCTGGGCCGCGGCCAAGCCCTTCTACGCCATCGGCCAGCTTATCGTCAAAGCCATCGGCCCGCCGAAGAAGAGGGCCGCGCCGGCCATCTACGACGTCGCCTGGGCGACGAGCCTCCGGGGGCCCAAGCCCCTGCCGGAGCGCGTGGCGTTGGTCGACTTCCGGCGCCGCGCGGGCGCCGACGGCGCGGCGGTGCCCGCGCTCAAGGCCGGCGACGCCGCCTGGCCGTCGGTGGTCCTGGGCATCACGGACGCGACGTTCGACCACCGCGCGGTCCTCCTCCGGGCGCCGTCCGTCGAGTCGCTCGTCCGCTTCCGGGCGAACCCGGAGGCGGCGCTCGACGTCGACCGGCTCGTGCAGAAGCCTGTACTGGATCGCGCCGCCGCCAAGTTCGACGTGCTGGAGCGGACGTTGGCGCCGCGCGTGGCGGCGGAGGCGCCGGAGATGGCCGTCGACGGCGCGGTGCTCTTCGCGCCGTCGAGCCCGCTTTTAACGGCGGCGTTCCTCGCCGCGGGCGGGTCCATCATCTTCGCGCCGTCCGACGTCCTGACGGGCGCGGCCGTCGACCTCGCCGCCGCCTGGCCCGCGGACGCCCAGGTGTTCGTCGGGGACCCGCGGTCCTACGACTGGGCCGCGTCCTCGAGCCTGCTGCCGTCGCCGACGGAGACCGCGTCGACGGTCGCGCTCTTGGAGCATGGGTCCGACGCGCCGCAGCTCTTCATGGGCGCGAGCCTGACGCTCGACGCGGCGGCGCTGCCGCCGGCGCCGTCGCCGGGGCGCCGCGCGGGCACGCTGCGGCCCTACGCGCGCGAGAAGCGGCCGCGGGATCTCTGGAGCGGCGGCGTCGACGCCGCCGCCGCGCTGCTGGCGTCCTTCGCCGCGCGGCCCGCGGGCGGCCTCGCCCTCGCGCCCGCGCCGCCGCTGGGCAAGTTCGCCGCGCCGAAGCCGAAGCCGCGGCGCGGCGGCCGCGCGGCGCCCGCGCCCGCGCGCCCCGCCGTCGCGGGCCCCCGGGCGCCCGCGCCCGTCGCGGTCGCGCCGAAGCGGTCCAAGGCCGAGCTCGTCGCCGTGATCCAGGACTGCTGCAAGGACCTCATCGGCACCGTGCCCAAGGAGAAGGACCCGCTCATGTCCGCGGGCTTCGACTCGCTGTCGTCGAACGACCTCGTGAAGAAGCTCGGCATCGAGTTCGAGATGGACATGCCGTCGACGCTGCTTGTTCGACCACCCGACGGTCGGCGGCATCGCGGACTATCTGCTCGAGGCGCTGCCCGACCTGCCCGCGCCCGTCGCCGCGGCGCCGCTCGCGGGCGCGCCGCCGACGATGGTCGCGGCGCCCGCGGCGCCCGCGGCGCCCGCTTTAACGCGGGGCGAGCTGGAGGCCACGCTGACGGAGATCGTCAAGGACCTCATCGGCGTCGAGCCCAAGCCCAAGGATCCGCTCATGTCCGCGGGCTTCGATTCTCTCTCGTCCAACGACCTCGTCAAGAAGGTCGGCATCGAGTTCGACCTCGAGATGCCGTCGACGACGCTCTTCGACCACCCAACGATCTCGTCCCTGGCCGAGTACCTCGAGGGCGTCATCGAGCCGCCGGCCGCGGCGGCGCCGATGATGGTGCCCCAGCAGGCGCACCACGCGCCGGTCATGCGCCAGGTCGTCGCGAACACGCCCGCGCCGATGAACCGCGGCGAATTGGAGGCGACGCTGACGGAGATCGTCAAGGAGCTCATCGGCGTGACGCCGAAGCCGACCGATCCCTTGATGTCCGCGGGTTTCGATTCTTTGTCGTCCAACGATCTGGTGAAGAAGGTCGGCATCGAGTTCGACCTGGAGATGCCGTCGACGACGCTCTTCGACCACCCGACGATCGCGAGCATCGCCGAGTACCTCGAGACGGCCATCGTCCCGCCGGAGCCCCAGTACATCGAAGTGCCCGTCGACCCGGGGTACGCGCCCGCCGCGGTCGCCGCGGCCGCGCCGCAGCCCGAGGCGGCCTACGACCGCTACCTCGGCGAGTCGTCGATCCCGGCGTGGAGCGAGGCCGAGACGCTCGCGGCCAACGCCATGCCCGGCCAGTTCGCCATCCTCGCCGGCGCGTCGCGCGGCATCGGCCGCGCGATCGCGCTCGCGCTGGCGCGGCGCGGCGTCCACTGCTGCATCTTCGGCCAGTCGACGGTGAAAGAGGTGGCGGACGCGTGCGCCGAGCAGGGCCCCGCGGGCCTGCGGTGCGCGGGCTTCAAGGTCGACCTGCGCGACAAGAAGAAGGTCTCGGAGGCCATCCAGAAGGTCCTCACCTTCTTCGGCACGGACCGCTTGGACGTGTTGGTCCAGTCTGCGTCGGTGCACCGCGGCGGCGACATCTCGATGATCGAGGAGCGCGGCTACGACTTCGTCCAGAAGACGAACCTGATGGGCACGTCGAACATCGTGCACATGTGCATGCCGTTCCTGCAGAAGTCGGAGAAGCCCCAGATGCTCTTCGTCGCGCCCGCGGCCGTGTCGGCCCACAGCTGGCTCATGTTCGCGCGCGGGTCGACGGTCTACTGCTCCGCGAAGCTCATGATGGGCTTCTACCTCGAGCTCTGGAAGAAGGCCTACCCGACCGTGGGCATGTCCACGCTCTGGCCCAAGTACGTGGTCAAGAGCGCCGCGACGGACGTGAAGCAGGGCTCGAACAAGCACCTCCAGGCCGACGAGCTCCAGATGGTCGAGCCCATCTTCATGGGCGAGGCCGCGGCGCTGGCCTTGGCGCGCCCGATGAAGGGCGGCCGCGCGGACTTCCACTTGGACGCCGACATCCACGAGACCATGGGCGTGCCCGAGGCGCGCGAGGACTTCTTGGTCGTGCCGGGCCGGCCCTGGGACGAGCTGGAGGTCTGCTTCCAGGTCGAGGTGACGGACCCGAAGGACGTCGTCAAGGCCTACGATGTGTCCGTGCCGGCGCTCGAGAAGGCGCCGAAGACGCTGATCGTCGGCGCGTTCCGCATCCCGGAGGACTTGTGGGGCCTCGACGCGGCCTCGATCGCGGTCGTCAACTGCGCGGAGGGCGGCGACGCGGCCATCGAGGGCTACGAGCAGACGAGCAGCCACGGCTGCGCGGTGTTCACGGCGCCGACGGCCGGCGGCTGCGCCGAGGCCGTCCAGGGCGCGCTGGAGTACCTCGGCGACGGCCTGGAGGTCGTGCTCTTCGCCTGCGACGTGTCGGACCTCGGCGGCGCTTCGGGCATGCCCAAGGCGGCGGCGGCGGCGGACCTGGAGCCCTGCTACGAGCGGCTGAACAAGCTGCCGTTCTTCGCCTGCAAGGCCCTGAAGCAGCGGCTCTACACGGACAAGGGCGACGCGGCGATCGTCCCGCAGCTCGTCTACGCGTCGGCGCCGCCGGACGTGCACCCGCTGGGCGGCTGCCACGTCACGTTGAACGAGGTGCTGCTGGACCGCGCGCTCATCGCTTTGGCCATCGCGTCCGAGTTCGAGCGCGACGGCGTCTGCTCGTCGATGCGTCTCTGCTGGACGGCGTCGTTCCGCGCGCCGGCGTCGGCGAAGGACATGGACGCGCTGCACGCGACGTGCGTCGCGGCGGCGGCGGCGTTCCACGCGGACGCGCCGCCGACGGCGACGTGCGCGGTCGTCGGCGTCGGCAAGCCCTACGCCTGCGCTTTGGCCCCCGACAAGATGTCGCGCGTCTTCAAGGACCTCGTGAGCTACAGTGCCTTCCCCGTGCCCGGGGACCGCGCGCTTTGGTTCCCGCGGCAGCGCAAGGCGCCGCCGCCGGCCGCCGCGCCCGGCGGCTTCACCAAGGCGACGCCCGCGGTCCTCGGCCTCCGGGCGTTGCTCCCCGGCGTGCCCCGCTTCGAGGAGAACGGCACGGCCCTGCGCCAGCTGCTCATGGCGGGCCACCAGATCCCGGCGACGGTGCCCGCGGCGCGCTGGGAGACGCCCGTGCCGCGCGCGGAGCACTCGGCGATCTACGGGTCCTTCCTCGACGACGCGGCCGCGGACTACGAGGCCACGGGCATGGTCGCCGTCGAGGCGCGCTACGCGGACCCGCAGCAGCTCCTGGTCTTGGAGAGTTCCTGCGGCTCGCTCAAGGACGCGCTCGGCGAACCGGGCGCGGCCTTCGAGAAGGAGGCCTTCGCGGGGCGCCACGTCGCGGTCTACATGGGCTGCGGCGGCGTCTGCTACGGCGGCGGGGCGCTCGCGTCGGCGTCGTCGATCGTCGGCGACCCGAAGCTGAATTTGTACACGGGCACGTCGTGGTCGCTGTCCGTCGTGTCCGGCCGCGTGTCCTTCGTGTTAGGCCTCACGGGCCCCTGTCTCGCCCTAGACACGGCGTGCTGCAGCGCGCTCGTGGCGGCCCACGTCGCCACGGGCGCGCTGAGCCTGAAGGAGTGCGACCAGGCGCTCGCGGCGACCGTCGGCCTGCTCACGGAGCCGGCGTCGACGGCGTTCTCCATCGCGGGCATGATCTCGCCGCGGGGCCGCTGCCACACGCTCGACGCCCAGGGCGACGGCTACGTCCGCGGCGAGGGCTGCGTGACCTTGGTGCTCGACCCGGAGGCGGAGAACGGCGCCCAATTGGCCGGGTCCGCGACGATGCAGGACGGCCTCTCGGCGTCGCTCACGGCGCCGAACGGCTCCGCGCAGCGGCGGCTGCTCAAGGCCGTGCCGTCGGAATCGGACTACGACGGCGCCGTGGAGAGTTTGGAGATGCACGGCACGGGCACGGCGCTCGGCGACCCCATCGAGGTCGGCGCGGCGGCGAACACGCTCTGCGGCAAGGCGAAGAATCCCGCGCGCGCGACGTCCCTCAAGGCCATCATGGGCCATCTCGAGTCGGGCGCGTCGGGCGCGGGCGTCGTCTCCCTCGCGGCGACGTCCCTCGTGCGCAAGCCCATGCCGCCGAACCCGCTCTTAAAACGCCTCAACGGCCACCTCGGCTCCTTCCTCAAGCAGCACCCCTTCGCGCCTCCTGTCGAACCGGCGCTCGCGACGGAGGACGACGTCCTGGGCGCGCGGCTCTCGTCCTTTGGGTTCTCGGGCACCATCGCCCACGCGCGGTTCTCGCCGGCCATGGACGACGCCGACGACCGTTTGTACGGCGCGGCGCCGGCGCAGCCCCGCGTCGCCGTCTTCCGGTCGCGCGCGCCGTGCTTCCCCCAATTGGACGCGGTCCGCCGCGGCCAGTGCCACCGGCGGAGCACGCGCGCGTACGGCGCGGAGGCGCCGCGGCCGCGCGCGGAGCACGAGAAGTTCTCCGTGGCCAAGATCGTCAACGAGGTCATGGGCGGCGTCGTGCCCGTGGACAAGCCCCTCATGGACCACGGGTTGGACAGCTTCGTCGTGGGAGAGCTCATGGACCGCTTCGCCAAGGCCCTGGGCAACACGGAGCTGCCGCCGACGCTCCTCTTCGACTACCCGACGGTGAACGCGCTGCAGAAGTTCCTGGGCGAGGGCGCCGTCGTCAAGGACCGCAAGATCGTCGCCAAGGTCGACAAGGGCGGCCGGGGCAAGTACGCGCTCCTGATCGGCGCGGACATGCGGACGCCCGTCATCGGCGACGGCTTCAGCGGTCTGCGGCACCTGGCGGCCTGCCACGGAAACGGCGGCAACGCCGTCCAGTTCCTGCCGCTCCACCGCCGCGACGAGGCCTGGTCCGTCGTGAAAGATTACCCCGGCGCCGCGACGTACGGCGGGTTCCTCTCCGTCGACGACGTCGAGTACTTCGCCATGGACGACTTCGCATTAACGAAGGCCGAGTCCAAGGGCATGGACCCGCAGCAACGATTGGCGCTCGAGGTCGGCGCGCGGGCCCTGCGCGACGAGGGCGGCTATTCGTTGGAGGCCATGGTCGACGCGGACATCGGGTCCTACGTCGGCGTCCAGACGTCGGATTTCTACGACCTGGCGCGGCGGCCCGACTCGGGCGTCGGCCCGACCTATTTGGCGACGGGCGCGAACCACGCCGTCGCCTCCGGCCGCCTGCCCTACGTGCTGGGGCTCCGCGGCGCGTCCGCGTCCGTGACGACGGCGTGCTCGACGGCGCTCGTGTGCTGCCACCTGGCCCGCGGCGGGCTGGACCTGTCGTCGACGTCCGAGGCGGCGCTCGTGGTCGCCGTGAATCTCAATTTACTGGCGGCCATGACCGTGGGCGTCGCCAAGGCGGGCATGCTCTCGACGAAGGGCCAGTGCCACACGCTGGACGAGCTCGCCGACGGCTACGTGCGCTCCGAGGGCTGCGCGGGGTTGCTCCTCATCGACGAGAAGAAGGCGTCGCCCGTCGACGCGCGGCTCGCGGCGTCGGCCGTGCGCTCCGACGGCGTGTCCGCGAGCCTGACGGCGCCGAGCGGCCTGGCCCAGCAGGAGCTGCTCAGGGAAGCTTTATCGGACGCGCGCTCCAAGAACCCGGGCCACGTGGAGCTCCACGGCACGGGCACGGCCCTCGGCGACCCCATCGAGATTGGCGCGCTGGCGGCGCTCAAGTCGGCGGAGCACCCGACGACGACGGCCGTCAAGGCGAACGTGGGCCACTCGGAGACGTGCTCGGGCGGTTTCGGCCTCACGGTCCTCAAAGTCTGCGCGCTCTCCAAGGCCATCCTCGCGCCCCAGGCGAAGCTCCACCTGCTCAACTCGCGCCTGGGCCACTTCGCGACGAAATTCTTCGGCGCGACGGACGCGACGCCCGAGCCGTCCTTCGAGGCGAGCCTCGTCAAGCAGGGCGGCGTGTCGTCCTTCGGCTTCTCGGGCTCCATCGCGCACACGCGGCTCTCGGGCGCCGAGGACCTGAGCGACGAGGACGTGCGCGCGCTCGTGCCCGTGGCGGAGGCGCTGCCGCCCTACCCGACGAAGTACCGCTTCGAGCTCGTGTGCTCGACGAAGCCCACGTGTTGCGGCCAGGTCCACGTCCCCGCGGACGCGGCCGCGGAGCCCGAACCGGAAAAGCCCATCAAGACCTACGAGGTCGTCTGGGGCCGGGAGTCCCTGGCGACGCCGCCGGAGGACACGCGCGACGCCTGGGACTACGGCAACGACAAGGTTTTGATCGTCGGCGGCGGCTTGGACGGCGTGCTCAGCGGCGGCGCGTTGACGCGGCGCCACATCGACTTCGAGCTCTTCGAGCTCGAGGGGTTCCTGGGCGGCGTCTGGGTGACCATGGCGAACCTGACGTCCAAGGTGCAGACGGGCAAGCTCACCTACACGCTGGACCTCGAGGACCAGTCGCCGCACGTCGCCGACGAGTCGAACTTCCAGCCCGCGGACGAGGTTGTCAAGTCCATCACGGGCTTCGCGCTGCGCATGGGCATCGACAAGAAGACGTCCATCTTCCGCGAGGTGACGAGCGTCACCTACGAGCCCTGGCCGTCCAAGGACTGCGGCGTCGACTGGACGGACTGGTCCAAGGCCGCGCGCGAGGCCGCGCCGGGCCGGGGCCTCCAGAAGTCCTCCGTCTTCTAGGGCGTCATCTTCGCCTGTGGGTCCCTGCGGTCGCCGACGCTGGCCCCCATGGCGCCGGCGCACTACGGCGGCTACGACTCCTACGGCGTCTGCGGCGACATGCGGCCGTGCGAGATGGCGGGCCGCGACCTCGTCATCGCGGGCCACGGCGCCTACGGCGTCGAGAACGTGCGGACCGGCCTGGAGCACGGCGCCAAGGCCATCACGCTCGTGTGCCGCCACCGCCACTCCGTGCTGCCGCGCTGCGCGGTCTGGCTCCTGGACGCGGGGCGCGCGTTCGACGCCTGGGACGAGATCTCGAAGATGCTCGCGGTCGCGAAGATGGCGCCCGCGTACACGACGGACCGGCGCAAGCGGCCCGCCGTGAGCGACCAGTACTACGCGGCGACGCGCTTCGGCCGCGCCTGCATCGTCCACGGCAAGATCCACGGCTACGACGCCGACGCGAGCAACCCGTGCCTCCTCGTCGAGACGCCCCAGGCGTCGGGCCTCACGAAGGTCCGCGCCGACGTGGCCTTGCTGTGCTACGGCTTCTCCAAGGAGACGTCCATCGTCAACCGGACCATGGGCGTCTTCGAGGAGGGCGACCTGACGGGCATCTGGGTCAAGGGGCAGCGGCGCGCGTGCATCCTGCGCGCCGATCTCGACGTGAGGAAGGAGGCGACGCCCCTGTCGGCGTCGAACATCCCCTTCGCGTCCTTCCTCGCGAACACGTTCTGCCACTTCCTCACGCGGCCCAAGTCCGAGTTCGACGGCGTGCTCAAGAAGCTGCCCAAGGCCGGCAACTCGCAGGACACGACGTCCTTCGACTTCTTCGCGTCGACGTTCCTCGCCCTCGTCGGCGACAAGGCCGTGCAGCCGCAGCTCACGAAGATCATCCGGCGCGTCCAGCACGTGTCCGTCAACGACGTCTGCGCCTGGACGGACTTTGTGGAGGACTGCGCGGGCGACTGGCGGAAGTACGTCGGCGCCGTCGGCGTCCCCGGCCGCGAGGAGCCCTACGGCGACTGGCTCGGCCGGTCGCCGAGCCCGCACCCGGACGGCCTGGGCCAGCGCAAGGAGGCGTCGCGGGCGCTCACGGCCGACGGGCCCCTCGCGTCGCCCGCGGCGCACCACGTGTCCGTCCTCGTCTTCGACGACGCGGCCGCCAAGGTCGGCGCGGACGCGTGGACGGCCGTGTCGACGCCGGGGCGGACGCCGGGCGTGCTCGTGCTGGCCTTCCCCCGCGACGTGCTCGACCTCGCCGTCGGCACGCTCTACGCGGCGGAGGCGAAGGTGCCGCACACGGTCGTGCTGCTCAAGGACCGGTCGCTCAACGCGTTCCACGCGCAGCTGCGGGTCGCGCGCGTCGAGGAGCCGCGGCTCAAGCTCTCGAGCGCCGTGCTGCGCTGCGGCAGCGGCGCCGCGCAGCTCGAGGAGCTCTGCGAGGCGCCGGCGGCCAAGGACTGCGTCCTGACGTCGAACTCGGGCGTCTTGGTGCCGTCGCTGGTCGAGACGGCGTCGTCGACGGCCGACGAGCGGAGCGAGCTTCGCGGCGCCTGGGCCGTCACGGGCGGCACGGGCGCCCTCGGCTTGGTCTCCGCGGCGCTGCTGATGGACCTCCAGGGCGACGTCGTCATCGCGACGCGGAGCCCGCGGATCAAGGTCTTCGACAAGGACGCGCTGGTGACGCGCGTCGGCCGCCTCCGGAAGCGCGCGCACCTCGTCGCCGGCGTCGACACGTCGGGGAGCCTCGCGGGCCTCAACGAGGCCGTGTCCGCGGTCTTCTCGTCGTCGGCGCTGACCTTCGGCGGCGTCGTGCACGCCGCGGGCGTGCTCCACGACACGCTCCTCAGCAAGGTCGAGCGGTGGATGGTCGACAAGGTCACGGGGCCCAAGGCGTCGAACCTCGGGTTCCTGCGGGGCCTCGTCGACGACGTCGTCCACTTCACGTCGGCGACGGTCATCCTCGGCGGCCCGGGCCAGACGGCCTACGCGCACAGCTCGGGCGCGCTCGACGACGACGCGCTCGGCAGCCGCGGCGGCGGCCGGCGGTCGTCGGCGCTGCAGTGGCTCGCCATCGAGGGCGTGGGCATGCACCAGGAGGCCGTGGGCACGGCGCCCCAGTGGACGCCGCTGGAGAGGATGGAGCGGATCCTCCGGTCGGCCGTCGGCGGCGACCTCTGCCCGTCGCTGAGCGTGCTGCCCGAGGCGTTCCTGTCCTTCGTGCCCAAGCAGCTCCACCTCAAGGACGACCCGTCCAAAAAGCCTCAGCCCGAGAAGAAGAAGAAGGAGAAGAAGGAGAAGAAGCCCAAGGAGAAGAAGGTCAAGAAGGAGAAGGCGCCGAAGGCGGACGTCGGCCCCGTCGTCGAGGCGGCCCTCAAGCAGACCATCGAGAACATCATGGAGAAGTACGACCCGGCGAACGACGAGGTGCCCTTCATGGAGATGGGCGTCGACAGCATGGGCCTGACGGACTTTGTGAACCAGCTCAACAGCGCGCTGGGCATCGAGCTCCCGGAGGTCGCGCTCTTCGAGTACCCGACGGTGTCGGACCTCCGCAAGGCGCTGATAACCATGGTCCTCGAGCTCCAGGGCGGCGGCGACGACTCCGACTCCGACGACGAGTCCGACGACGAGCCCGCGAGCGGGCTCGCCCTCGCGGCGCCGGAGCGGTCGCCGCTGCTCCTGTCGTCGATCACGGGCAAGCTGTCCGTCGGCGACGTCGGCGCGAACGCGCTCGGCTTCTACGCGACGCTCCGCGGCGGCTGCAGCGGCATGGGGCGCCTGCCGCTGGACCGCGTCCACTCGTCGCTCACGTCGACGGGCCTCGAGGGCCTCGACCTGCCGCACACGGCGACCTACGGCGGGTTTATTCAGACGAAGCACTGGATCGACTTCGACGGCGACTTCTTCGGCGTCGCCGTCGCCGAGGCCAAGGTCATGGACCCGCAGCAGCGCCAGCTCATGGAGGTGGGCTTCGAGGCGTTGGACGCCGCGGGCATCACGAAGCAGGCCATCCGCGCCCACGACGACGCCTGGACCGTCGGCAACTTTGTGGCTCTGCAGACGAACGACTTCGCGCGCGCCATCGTCCGGAGCCCGCGGCTCATGCAGTCGACGTACGCGGTCTCCGGCGCGAACCCGGCCATCGCCGCGGGGCGGCTGCCCTACGCGCTCGGCCTGCGGGGCGCGGCGTTCACCGTGGACACGGCCTGCTCGACGGCGCTCGTGTGTTTGCACGAGGCGCGCTTGGCCGACGCGACGACGGACCGCCACGAGCCCGCGTTGGTGTCCGCGGTCAACGCGATGATCGACGCGTCCGTCACAGAGGTCGTGGAGCGCGCGGGCATGCTGTCGCCGCGGGGCCGGTGCCACACCTTCGACGGCCGCGCGGACGGCTACGCGCGCGGCGAGGGCGTCGTCGCCGTGCTCATCCGGCGGCAAGAGGCTTTAGACGGCGTCGCCGACGTCGCCCTCCACGGCGGCGTGCTCCTGCCGGCGACGTCCCTGCGCAGCGACGGGCGCACGGCGTCGATCACGGCGCCGTCGGCCGTCGCGCAGCGCGAGCTCCTCGCGCTGGCCCTCGACCAGGCGCCGAAGCTCACTTTGACGAACGTCGAGACGCACGGCACGGGCACGGCGCTCGGCGACCCCATCGAGATGGCCGCGCTCGCGTCCCACGCGGAGAAGCCCGCGAAGCTCGCGGCCCCCATCGTGCTCAGCGGCGTCAAGGCCTACCTCGGCCACCTGGAGCCCGCCGCGGGCTTCGCGGGCGTCGCCGCGCTCCTGGGCGCCGCGAAGACGCGCGCGCTGCCGCCGAACCCGCTCCTGCGGACGCTCAACGGCCAGCTCGCCAACGCCACGAAGAAGGCGTTGTCCATCCCCGCGGCGGAGGCGACGGCGACGCCCTGCTTCGACGCGGGCGACGCCGTCGTCGGCGTCGGCAGCTTCGGGTTCTCGGGCATCGTCGCGCACGCGCGTTTCGCGCGCGGCGGCGCCGCGGCGCCCGAGGCGGCCAACGACGTGACCTACTTTGACGTCGAGAAGCGCACGCTCTACCGCGGCCGCGTGAGCTACCCCTGGCTCGAGGTCGTCGAGCCGTTGGTCTACGGCATCGACGCGCACGCGGACGCCGCGCCCGACGCCGTCGGCGCGCGGGCCGCGCCGGCCGCCGCGGCGCCGGGCGCCGCGGCGCAGTTCGACGCCGCGGGCGTCAAGGCCGAGGTGCGGCGCATCGTCGGCGAGCTCTCCGGCGCGGACCTCGCCGACGGCGTCGACGCGTCGTTCGACGACGCGGGCGTCGACTCCATCGCGGCGACGGAGCTCTCGCGCGCGCTCAAGCGCGCCTTCAAGGTCGCCATCTCGCCGACCTTCCTCTTCGACTACCCCACCGTCGATTTGGCCGCCGACGCCATCGTCGCGCTCCTCGCGGACCGGGGCGACGACGGCGGCGGCGGCGACGCGGCCGACGTCGAGGCGTCGTCGCTCCTCGTGGCCTTCGGGCCGCGGCGGCCGACGCAGCGCGGCGCCCTCTTCCTCTGGAGCGGCGGCCAGGGCGATAGCGCCATCTTCGCCCAGCTCGGCCGCGAGATCGCGCCGCACCTCCGCGTCTACGGCGTCGACCGCCGCGACGGCGCGGCCGTCGGCGACATGGCGCGCGACATGGCGCCGCTCATCGCCGCCGCCGTGCCGGACAACGACGCGGCCTGCTTCGTCGGCGGCCTGAGCGTCGGCGGCTGGCTCGCCGTCGAGACCGCGCTGCGCCTCGCGCCGCTCGGCAAGCGCGCCGCGGCCGTCTTCGCGCTCGACGGGCCCGAGCCGTCCCAGTTCGACCTCGACTGCTCCTACGCGCCCGCCGAGGGCGCCGCGGAGCTGCTGCTGGGGCGCAACCGCACCTTCCCGGAGGGCTGGGCGGCGATGACCGCGGACCAGCGCGTCGACGCGTTCCTCGCGCTCCTGCCGTCGCTCGGCATCCACTTCCTCGGCTACGACGCGGCCAAGTCGGAGGCCGAGAACAAGGCGACGGTCGCCCACCACCTCACGGCGGGCGCCGACGCCTTCATTAGCACGCTCCGCACGTCGACGACCAGCGTCTACGACAAGGCGACGTCGAAGCTCGACGCGGACCTCGTGCTCTTCCGCGCGTCCGAGCGGCGCGCGGTCAAGATGCTCAAGGACGGCGACGCGGACGCGGCGCCCCATCTCTACGCCTGGGCGTCCGCGGGCGTCCCCAACGTCACCGTCGTCGACTGCCCCTCAAACCACATGCACATGCTCTTAGACAAGCCGAAGATCGACGCGATCTGCGCGACCGTGCTCGACTTCGTGGACATGTCCAACCGCAAGTAGCTCCCCCGCGCGCCGCCGGGCCCGAACCCCGGCCGCCGCGCATCCCATCGCTCTCGCTGTTAACGTTGTGTGCCTGTTATTTATCGAGGAGGCTGAGGGAACTTAGGATCCAGTCTCGACTCTCGGAGTTCGTCCGGCGGCCGCGTCGCGCTTGCGAATCGCGGCTGCGAAATATTTCGTGACCGCTTCGCGCCGGTCTGGTTTCCCACACTTCGCGGCGACGTCTAACGGCGTCATGCCGGCGTCGAGCGGACAAGCTGGATCCACTAAGAAGTAAAACGATGAGTTCGTGTCCGTAGCGGGCGCGGTCGTCTTCGCAGACACGTCGGCGCCGTGCAGCACGAGAGCATCTATACACTGCAAATATCGTTTTTGTTCCACATAGCTTTCCTTGAAATACGTGGCGAGGTAGGCTAACGCGTGGAGCACCGTAAGCCCGGTGGAGTCCGTTTGCGAAGCGTTTGCGCCGAATTCGAGAAACGCCTCGATCAAATCTTCGTGAAGGTGATTGAAATGGTAAACCGCGTAGCTAAGAAAGTTCGAAACCAAATGAGGTCGCTCTTGAAGCAGGAGTCGGAGGACGTCTTTGGCAGCACATACGTCGTCTCCGTAGTTCTTCAGAAGGTAATCAGTATCATCCAAGAATATCGCATCTGGGCCTCTGGGCTCGCCGACACGGGCGCCGCGGGCCAAAAGCGCAGCTGCAGCACCAAAGTTCAGTGTGCGAGCTGCCACCATGAGCGGTGTCTGGCCTCCTTCGCGCGAATGGTTTATGTCGACGTCCGGCTGTTGTAAAAGAAGCTCAACGGTCGGCAAGGACTTGCTCGATACTGCGGCCACGAGAATAGGGTCGGAGAAAGTTGAATCCACCTTCACATGCGACAGATTGAAGCTCTCCAAGAGGACGCCTAACACCGATGCACGTCCGTAGTGCGCGGCGATGTACAACGCGTCCGAGCGACGGTTGCGGACGCTCTCGAAGATGGCTTGATCGTGTAGCAGCGCACGTACACAGCCGTCCTGTCCCACCCGACACGCGATCTCGAGGACTGTGAAATTCCAAAACTCGGAGTGTAACATGACGCCCACGGAGCGCAGAAGGTCGATGGCCGCAGCGTTGCCAACATCGATAGCAACGGAGATGACCCTGTACGTCAGCAATGTTCGCGCGGCTGGAGCGTCAGGCGTGGAGGCAGAGATGAAGTATTCCAGGGTGGGCCCTGTGCTCGCCAACAGGCGTTCAACGCAACGATGGTGTCCCTCGGCGAGGGCGACAATCAAGGGAGTCATGATGTCGACCGCTGCAGTGCTGTGATCGAGGAGTTCGGGGACGAGGTGGTCGTGGCCCATCTTGCACGCAAATAAAAGTAGGTATTCTCGAGTAATAACGTACAGACTCTGAGCCTCGTCGCGCGGATCAGCATCATCAGATGTCTCCGCTCGCCAGAGAGATGAGAGCAGCTGCCACGGGCGTGAAACGAGACGTGCGCGCAGCGCACCCGCACGGCACTGTGCCAGGGCTTTGCGAACGCCTTGGAGATCGCCATTGATGCACGCGAATACATCCGGATTTTCTTCGATGAATTCCTCGTTCTGCAAATCCTCGTCCTCAAAAGCACGCCAGGAGTTGGACGTGGATTTCAATACGCCGGGTCCTTGTCGCAAAGCTGAGAAAAGATCAGCGCGTTCGGATGGAGAACAGGGAAGACGATCCGTTGTGACTGATTCTAAGGAGTGGCTCGAGCCTCGAACCGCTTTCCACGCACTCGCAGTCCCACCTTTCTCGGCAGGCAAGGGTACGCAGGCTTTCCAAAGCAGACCGATGCCCACGATGTTTTTCGAGACGATGGCATGGTCCAAGACGGTACAGCGTGTGTCACTGCGAACTGAGATATTCTTGCCTGGTTCTCCAACGACGTACGAGAGCGGCGCATGGAGCGACTGGAGGATCTGCATCACGATGTCATTCCGATGGTCAACGAGAGCGTGGCCTAGGAGCACGACCGCGGCGCACGGTCGTTCTTCGATGACGCGCAGCGAACCGAGAAAGACCTCCTTTTCCTCTTCGCCGACGCGGACGACGGCCTTCTTGGTCTCTTTGATCGAGACGACGGTTCCGCGGATCCATTCGATCGGGCTGAGCCGCGGTGGGTCGGGATCCCCGCCCTCAGCGACTTCGACTTCGTCGCCGGCGGCGAGAGCATGGACGCGCTCCTCGCTAAGAAGACTCCGCACGGCCTCCGACACGCGCTGCTTGCCGGCTTCGCCGGACGTCTCGCCATCGCGCTGCACTCCAAGGCGGTCCAAAATCGCGAGAGCTATTGACCAGCCGACTTCAACTAATCGATCCTTCAGCTGCCGAATAGCAAACCGCTCGAACGTCATGCCGGATAAGGAATGTGACGGAGAGAACACCGCGGCGGCGTCACTCGCGAGCGATACAGCGGCAAAAGCGAATACCGCAGGCAATAAGAAGTCGACAATCGAGACGTACGCAACGTCACCCTCTCGCACGTCGCCGTCGGCGCGCAGGAGGGCGCCGCTTCGCTCGGGCGCGAACTCGGCACTCAAAGGTAGGAGGATGCCCGACAGGAGCTCCTGCCAGACGACATGGGCATCCGCGCTGATGCCAGCCGCGCCACAGGCCGCGAGGAAAAACTGCTTGCTATGCGAGATCCACAATCCGTCCTTAGTCATGATCCGGAAGCAATGCACGACGAGGCGCCGCAATGAGGCTTCGTCGAGCACGGCAGACGCGTGCGCGGCAGCTTTCAACGCCTTGTCCAAGTGTGCCGCAGTGCCGTGCGTTTGCCCCTGCCGCGATATCTGGCGGCGACCAGCAGCGAGCTGCAGGCGTCGAGGTACGAGGACAGGGCCTCCCAGCGCGTCGACGAGCTTTGCGGCGTCCTCCGGCGCGGCCGCCTCGGACCCGCCAGCATCCGTCCCAGGTGAGCCCTGCGTCAGTCCTTGCGACCGGAGCATGAGGCTCTGCCGCGCAGCGGTGCCCGCGGCGTCGCGCGAGGAAAGGTCGACCTCAAAGACGCCCAAGGAAATCAGCGCTGCGCGCCGCCGCTCCTTGGCGGCGACGGCGCACGCCGACCGCGCCGCGTCGACATCCGCGCCGCGGAATCCTTCCACCAGGGCTGGCGCGCGAGCGCGCGGGGACAGCAGCAGCGCGCGGTCGTCGCGGTAGACGACGTCGCTAGCGCAGTGCCGGCCGTCGGCGGCTGCAAACGAGAAGTGGAAGCGTGTGTCCGCGTTGATCGCGCCCGCGCGCCGCGCCTCGAAGAGCTCGGCGCGCGCCGCGGCCTTGACGGCCACGACCAGGTTCGTCTCGTTGGACACGTCGAGCTCGACGCGCGCGCCGCGGATCAGGCGCCGCGCGCGCGGGCAGAGCGCCTCGAGCGTGAGCACGTTGCGGTAGCCCGCGAAGGCGAGGATCGCGGTCACGTTGTGGCCGTCCTCCAGCACGCGCGTGAACTGCACCTCCTCCCTCGAGGGGCGCTTGGCCTCGGGCGCCTCGGGGGCCTCGGGCGCGCCCTCGACGGGCGACGCCCCGCGCCGCGACAGCGACGCGCCCATGAGCTACGAGACGGCGCGGCGCGAGGAGAAGATGTAGCGGGTGGTCAATGCGGCCACGCGCACGACGTGTGGGGCGACCGGTGCGGACACAGCGCTGAGCCGAAGGACGACGCGGAGCCTTTTGCGGGCGCAGCGTCGGCCGAGTCGTCGGCTCTGTCGTACTTCGCCTTCAACGAGCAACTTGCATGTCAAGTTCGAGCAATTAATCCGATCGGCTCCTCCCACACCCCCCGCACTCCCACCTCTCACTTGGGCGCGCTCGGCGCGCTCCGCGGGGGCTTGTTGGACCGGTAGTAGGGCGACCACATGGGCACGCCGTAGCCGTAGTCGCGGCGCTTCTCCTCGGAGACGGCGCCGGTGCGGAAGCCCCACTGCTGGAACCAGAAGGCGTCGGCGGGCAGGCCCGTCTTCTCGCCCGGCTTCTCGCCGGGCTTGAGCTCGTCGGAGCGGTGGTAGGGGCTCCAGCCGGGCACGCCGTTGCCGTAGTCGCGCTTCTTCTCCTCGGACATGGAGCCCTTGAAGCCGTACTGCTCCCACCAGGCCTGATCGCCCAAGGCCTTGGTGGAGCGCTCCTGGGCCTCCTTGGACCGGACCTTGTCGGGCTCGAGCTGGCGGTAGTAGGGCGACCACTTGGGCGCGCCGTAGCCGTAGTCCTTCTTCTTCTCGGCCGTCAACGCGTCGGGGTCGCCGGCGGCGCGGAAGCCCTGCTGCTTCCAGAAGCCCTCGTCCTGGCACTTGCCCGCGCGCTGGCGCGCCTGGTAGGCCGTGATGAGCGCGCGGTCCGCCGGCGTGATCTCGGGACGCGACACGGACCGGCGGAGCGACCGCGGCATCATGAGGTCCATCATGGCCTGCGTCGACTTGGCGTGCGCGTCCATCTCCGTCGTCTTCAGCTCGGGCACGCCGGCGGGCCGCCGTGTTCTGAGCGCGGCCTGCGCGGTCCTCGGCCGCTCCTTTTTGCGGAGGAGGCACTCGCTCCGCTTCACTTTGAAGCGCTGGCCGGGCCGCACGTTCCGCGGGACGACGGTCTTGCACTTCTCGCCGCGGTCGCGGAAGAAGATGGGCTGGTCGGGCCCGGCGCCCTCGGGGCACACGAGCACGACGACGTCATCGTCGACGCCCATGGGCACCGGACGGACACCTCAGAGGAGCGGCCGGCGAGCGGCGACGGGCGACACCTTGGGAGACCCGGGAGCTGCGCGCACGATGGGCGACGCCCCTTCGAGGCTGGAGCCGCGCGCAAGATCGCCCGGCGGGCAGCGTTTGGTGCCCACGCGCGCGTCTATCCCGTTAGCGCGCCGCGTTCTTTTAGAGGCGTCAACATGAGGATCCTGAAAAGCCGGCATTTACCCTGGAGGAACATCTCTGTAGCGCCGCCGGGAGATGGACGGCGACATCACGCTCATCTGCCCGCGCGGCGCGAAGCCCGGGCAGCAGCTGCTCTTCCGCGACGAGAGCGGCGCGCGCTTCTCCACGGAGCTGCCCGCGGGCGTCACGGCGGGCATGAAGTTCACGGCGAAGCGGCACCGGCCGCCGCGGCCGGGCAGCGGCACGCAGCGGCGCGAGAACCCCATGGGCGCGTCCTTCCGCGGGCGCGACGGCCAGGAGTTCCGGCGCGTGCCGTCCGCGACGAAGCTGTTCCAGCGGCCGCCGACGCCCGCGGTGCTCAGCTCCGCGCGGCCGAGCAGCGGCCGGTCGCGACCCCCGTCGTCCGCGCGGTCGCGGGGCCCGGCGACGGCGCGGTCGTCGCGGCCGCCGTCGTCGCGGCGGGCCCTGCCGCCCGTGCCCGACTACGTCGACGAGCCGCTCGGCGACCAGGCGTGGTGGGAGCAGTGGGGGTTCAAGGGCTCCATGTCCGAGGACAAGAAGCGCGACTACGGCAACGGCGTGCCCAAGTGGTCGCCCTACCACCGCATGAACGAGGAGCTCCAGGGCGAGAACTGCGGGCTGCCGGCGGACGCGTTCTGGTTCCAGCAGTGGGGCTTCCGGACCGCGAGCCTGTCCGAGGAGGCGATCAAGTGCCAGGGCTACGGCGTCCCCTCCTGGAGCCCCTACTACGACGTCGTCGCGAAGAAGTAAGAACGTTTTAAGCGAGGCGCGCCGGCCGGTCGTCGAGCGCGAGGCGGAGCAGCGCGACGTGCGTCCTCCGTTCGAGCGCCGCGAGCTCGACGGCGTCCGGGCTCTCCTCCTGGGGCAGCGGCGCGTGCGTCGGCGCCGCCGGTCGCTTGTCGCGGGCGAGCGCGGCGGCCGCGAGGAGCGCGAGGCCCACGCCGGCGACCTGGAGCGGCGCGGGCCGCCGCGGGTCGTCGAGGCCGACGCCGTAGGCGTCGAGGACGAGGCTGCAGGCGATGTTCGAGACGATCTGAAGCGTGAACGACGTCGCGAGGCCGATGACGCGGCGGCCTACCAAGCATGTCGGTAACAATTTTTCATCGTTTTCCCAGCCGAAATCTCTCGAAAATCGTCACCGCCACAGGACGCCGAAGAACATCCAGGGCCGCGCTTCGCCGTCGAAGGCGAGGCGCGCGCCCGCGGCGGCCGACTCCACGGCCAGGCACGCGACGCCGCCGCCGAAGCTCACGAGCGTGCCTGTGCCGAAACCAACCACTGGTTTGGGTGGTCCTGACCAAACTTGAGAAGTCTCTAGCTCGGTCAAATCGAAGTCGATTCGGCTGATTTTTGGACGAATCGATTGCTCTCGTCGAGTTCTCGAAGCACAGCCGAAAAGCTTGCGTCGAAACTGTCGCGTACGCGCACATTGAAGTCGGGTTGAAGATTTGGTTTCGGCACACGAGCGTGCCCCGGATCTTCGCGCCGAGCCGCTCCGCGAGGAGCCGGTTCGCCGACGCCTGCACGGGCGTCAGCGATCCCGCGGCGAAGCCGAGCGCCGCCGCGCCCGCGGTCGCGAGGACCGCCTTTTCGTCCACGGCCGCCGCGGCCGCGCCGTCGAAGGTCACGGCGACCGAGGCGCCGGCCGTCGCGAGCGCCAGCAGCCCGCCGCGCCGCGCCGTGAGCCGCCGCAAGGAGGCGCCGAAGGCGCCGACGTGGTCGAAAATGGCGGAAAAAAGCAGCAGCGCCGTCAGCCGCGCGACGCTCGGCAGCGCGTAGCCGACGCGGCCGTTGGCGACGAGGAGCAGCGTCATGCCCGTGCTACCGAGGAGCCCGCCGCAGCAGTGCCAGCAGCGCCGCGGCGCGCGGCACTCGTCGCGGTGGCGCAGCGGGTCGCGCCGGTGCTGGACATGGCGGTACGCCGCGAGCGCCGCGTTGCAGACGACCATGAGGCATGCGCCACCGGCGAACGAGACGAAGCCGGCCACGAACTTGCGCTGCAATTCATCGCCCAGGACGTGCTGGGACAGCGAGAAGTTGACCACGGATTGCACGGCCGTGCCGCAGCCCGCGGCGAGGGCCAGCAGCACGCAGACGGGCCGCTCCAAGCTGCCCATGCCTTCGGAGAGCAAGGTCAACGAGCACTTCAAGGATTCTTCAATGCTATTAAAAAAGCGAAGGGCACGATGGTGCGGGGCTGCCGCTGGCTCCTCGTATTCCTCCACGCCGCGAGCGCGGACAAGAAGTGCCGCTGCGACGCGCCGGAGATCGTCGACGCGCTCGCCGCCGTCGCGCCGCCGGCGCCGCTCCGCGTCTCCGTCCGGGGCGCCCGGCCGCTGTCGCCGCAGCTCGTGCTCATCAAGATCCCGGAGACGGGCTCGTCGACGGCGGCGGCGCTCCTCAGCGAGCTCGCGGCGAAGCGCGGCATCCCCTGCTGGCAGCACGGCGGCGCCCTGAGCTTCGCCGCCGCCGTCGAGAAGCGGCCCAAGGGCGACCCGAAGTGGGCGCTGGCGCACCGCTGTGTGGAAATCAAATCTTCAACCCGACTTCAATGTGCGCGTAATCGAACGGTTTGGACCAGACTCTTTCGCTGTGCTTCGAGAACTCGACGAGAGCAATCGATCCGTCCAAAAATCAGCCGAATCGACTTCGATTTGAATGAGCTAGAGAGTTCTGAAGTTTGGCCCCGACGTCCCAAACCAGTGGTTGATTTCCACACAGGCGCACCGCGGCTGGGGCCCCTGGGTCGAGGCGCACTTCGAGCGCAAGCAGCGCATGGTCGTGACGACGGCGCGGGACCCGACGAAGCGGCTCTACTCGCGCGGCGAGAAGCGCGTGCTGCGGGGCGAGCCCGTGAACTGCAAGGAGGGCGCGGACGTCGCGATCCGGTTTTGGAGCGCGGACGGCAAGCGCGGCGAGGGCCTGAAGAAGACGGCCGAAAGCGTCGTCGCCAAGTTCGAGGACGTCTGGGTCATGGAGCGCTACAACGAGTCCCTCGTGGCCTTCGCTTTGACGCACGGCCTCCCGCTCGGCGACGTCGTGCCGCCGCTCGCGAAGTACCACGACCGCGACGCGCCTCGCAACGCGACGAAGCCGGCGCCGTCGCGCCAGTCGGCCTACGCCAAGGCGCGCTGGACCTGCGAGCGCGACAAGGTCGAGGCGACGCGCGCCTTCGCGCTCGAGACGCGCGTCCACGCGGCCGCGGGCGCGGCGCTCGACGCGCGCGTCGCGAAGCTCGAGCGGAGCGGCGTCGCCTGGCGCGACCTCGTCGCCCTCTTCTCGCGCCACCTCCACGTCGCCATGACGCTGGGCGCCCAGATCCGCGACAACAGCGCCGTCTTCGGCGACGACCGCCAGTCGAGCTCGACGCTGCTCATGAGCGCGTGCGCGCGCGGCTGCGCGATGCGCGCGCTCGACGCCGCCGCGGTGCTCGACTACGGCTAAGGACCGTCGCCGCTGTAGTAAGTGCGGTTTTAAAACAAACGGCGGCCTACGGGAGCGCCGTCGCGTTCTTGCACTCGCAGGTGCCCATGAAGCGGCGGCCCCGGGGCACGACGAAGGCGCACTCGAGCCGCGGCCCGAGGCCGAGCGCGGCGAGGACGGCGTGGAAGCCGACGCACGTCGCGTCGCCCGGCTGCGCCTGGGCCTCCATCTCCGCGTTCGTCGCGACGGCCAGCGTGAAGCCGTAGTCCGGGAAGTAGGTCGCCTGGGACTGGTAGCCGTAGGTGTCGCCGACGTGGCCCACGGCCCTGACGTTTCCGCCGACGGAGAACGCGAGGTCGAAGGTGCCCGCGCCGTACCAGGCGAAGCGGGCGTCGCCCCAGTAGGTCATGTCGGCCAGCGACGCGTTCGTGACGATGCCCTCGAGGCCGTAGAGCGCCTGCGTGAACTTGGCGACGTCGCGGACCGGGCCCACGAGGTTGCCCGCGGACCACCCGCCGACGCAGGAGACGTCCGAGACCTCGATCGTGGGGCCCCGGCGCTGCTCCATGAAGCCCTTGACGGGCGTGAACGCGTCGCAGGGGCCCGCGTCGACGAACTTCGACGCCTTGGAGAGCGTGCCCTTGGCCGCGGCGGCCTGGTCGAAGGCCTTCCACGCCGCGTAGGGATCTTTGACGTCGGGCGCGTCGTACCGCGCCGCGACCAAGCCGAGCAGGATGTAGTTCGTGGACGAGTAGTCCTGGTACTTGCCCGGCGTGAATTCCAGGCTCCCATTCACGAAGCCGCCCAGCAGGATGTCGAGCGGCGAGAAGTCGCGGCTCCGGTTCGCAAACTGTTCGTACGCGTACTTTTCGCCGTCGTAGTCGGAGATGCCGGACTTCATGTGGAGCGCGTGGCGCAGCGTGATCGTGCCGGCGCGCGCCGTGTCGTTGACGAGGACGGCCGTGGCGAGGGTCGCCGTTCCCGGGAGCATGGCGTCGACGTGGTACGCGAGCGAGTCGTCGAGGCCGAGCGCGCCCCTCTCCGCGAGCTGGTAGATGGCGCTCGCCGTGAACATTTTTGTGATTGACCCGTAGACATAAACGTCGTCGTCGGAGGCCGGCACGGCCTTCGTGCCGAGGCCGAGGCCGCCGTCGATGAAGCCCGCCGAGGCCGTCGCGTCGAGCGTCGTACCGCCGGACCGGCCGTAGAGGGCCATGGAGCAGGACACGTCGTACTTCGTCGCGACGCCCTCGCAGGTGCTCTTGAGCGCCGCGGCGACGTCGGCGGCGGCGGCGACGGGCGCCAGCAGCGCGCCGATGAGAAGGAGGCGTCCCATCATGGTGTCGGGGCAGCCAGCGAGAGTTGAGACGGACCAATCAGCCTCAAGTGCAAGGTGAGTGTTGAGCTAGTTATTGAAGGGGGTGCGCGCTCAGTTAACCCCTCAAACAACTTTAAAAACGCACAGAGCAGCCGCGCACGGTCCCGGGCAGCCTCCGACGGCCGCCATGATGATGCAGGTGCCCGTCGACGGCCCGCCATCGCCGAAGACGGCGGCGCACATGGAGTACCTGCGGCGGCTCGAGGAGGCGACGAAGCTGAAGAAGCCGCGCAAGAGCGCCAAGCCCGTGCGCCTGGCCAAGAAGGAGGCGGGCTTCGACCTCCACTGGGCCGGCGCGAACCGGCAGCGCACGGGCGGCAAGCTCAAGAAGGCGGCGAGGCCCCTCGCGGCCCTCGCGCCGCCCGAGAACGCGCGGCGCACCTGGGGCCGGACGGCCGCGCCCGCGGCGGCCGCGCCGCCGCCGACGAAATCGGACGACGAGTACGACGACGACTTCGACGAGAGCGGCGACGAGCCCGCGGCGGCGTCGGGCGGCTGGGTCCTCGACGCGGCGCCGCCGTCGCCGGAGGTCTTCGCGCGGACCGTCGTGCCCGACGCGTTCAAGCAGGCCGCGCGCGCCAAGGCCGCCGTCGACGACGACGTCGTCGAAGCGACGCCGGAGGCCGCGCCCGTCGAGGCGCCGCCGGGGGCCGCCCTCGCGGCGCGGCTCGCGGCGCTCCCCGCCGCGCGGCGCGACGTCGTCCTCGCGGTGCTCGCGGCCGTCGAGGCCGCGCCCGGCGACGACGACGCCGCCGCCGCGCGGTCCGCGCTCGCGGCCGTCGCCGCGGGCCTCGAGGCGCCCGCCGAGGCGGTCGTCGAGGAGGCGCCCGCCGAGGCGGGCGCCGAGGCGGTCGTCGAGGCGCCGCCGGCGATCGCGCCGCCGGCGATCGCGCCGCCGGCGATCGCGCCGCCGGCGATCGCGCCGCCGGCGATCGCGCCGCCGGCCATCGCGCCGCGGGCCGAGCCCTTCGTCGCCACGGTGCGCATCCGCAACGGCTGGGGCAACGCGCGCATCGCGGGCCTGGACGGTCTCGCGCTCGTCGGCGGCGACGGCGCGGTCATCGAGGTCGCGCCGGACGCGCTCCGGCTCCTCGCCGGGTCGCCGCCGCGGCCCGCGCCGGCGTCGAGCCGGTCCGCGGCGGAGCTCGCGCGGTTGACCGCGCCGCCGGCGTCCCGACGGAGGGACCTCGCGGCCAAGTCGTGGGTCGCGCGGATCCCGACGGACGGGCCCGTGCACGTCGCCCTGGCCGTCGGCGCCGGCGTCCTCGACCGGGCCGGCGCGCGGCTCCGCGTCTGGAACTGCTCCGCCTCCGCCAAGGCCATCGGCGGCGTCGCGGACGAGCCCGGGGCGCTGGGCGCGAGGTCCATCGAGGTCGAGGTCGACGGGGCGCTGGTCTTCGCGGGCGAGCTGCCGCGGCGGGCCCGCGACGCGAAGGGCTCGGGCTGGTTCGACGTGGCGCTGACGCCGGCGGCGGTTCCGGCGGAACTCGCGGCGGCCGCTCCCACGCCGGCCGCGGAGGCCGCGCCGACGCCCGCGGAGGAGGCGCCGCCCGCGCCGAAGCCCGCGCCCCTCGAGACGCCCCCGGCGACGACGGGCGGGGCGGCCGCCGCGCTCGTGACGCCCGACGACGCCGAGGCGTCGGGCATCGTCGCCGACGCGAGCGCGACGCTCGTGACGCCCGAGGCGCCGGCGAAGGTCCCCGACGCCGACGCGCCGGCCAAGGTCTCCGACGCGTCGC